CCCCCTCCACCCCCTCCCCAGGGCATCGCAATTGCTCTTCCAGCATGGCTTCCAACAAATCTCCGGATGCCATTGCACCGGTAGAGCATCCGCCCTCTCTCTCCGACGGCTCAACGGGTTCCGCCGCCAGGATCATCCATAATGCCAAAGCCGCTACCGATAAGGAGCGGCAGATGACCCTGTGGCAGGGCGTCAAGCTCTACCCCAAGGCTGTCGCATGGAGTGTCCTCATCTCTACCTGTATTGTCATGGAAGGCTACGACATCAGTCTGGTCAACAACTTCTATGCCTTTCCTCAATTCAATCGGAAATACGGTGAGCTGACGGCGGACGGCTCATATCAGGTTCCAGCCCGGGTATGTTGCACTTTCCTATCTCAATCAATTGATGGTCTTGAGAACCTTCCTGCTAATATGATCTCTCCTATTTAGTGGCAATCCGGTCTGAGCAACGGTGCATATGTTGGAGAAATCATTGGCCTTTTCATCAACGGCTGGGCGTCCGAACGGTTTGGATATCGGTACACTATCATGGCTTGTCTTGTTCTCATCACCGCCTGGACTGCCATCTTCTTCACTGCGCCCAATGTCCAGGCCCTGCTCGCCGCGGAAATTCTGGCTGGAATTCCCTGGGGAGTTTTCCAAACACTTACCATCACCTATGCTTCCGAGGTCTGCCCCGTTGCGCTGCGAGGCTATTTGACGACGTATGTCAACTTCTGCTGGGGTGTCGGACAACTGATCGGTATCGGAGTGATCAAGGCTATGATCAATCGGCAAGATGAATGGGCTTATCGGATTCCCTATGCCCTCCAATGGATGTGGCCCTTACCGCTGTTCATTGGCATTTCTCTCGCCCCCGAGTCGCCTTGGTGGCTCGTCCGCCGGGGCAAGATCCAACAAGCGAAGGACGCCTTGCTGCGCCTGACCAGTCTGAACCGAGAAACGGATTTCGACGCCGATGAGACCATTTCCATGATGGTCCATACCACGGCCTTGGAGGAGAAAATCACCAAGGGCGCCAGTTATCTCGATTGTTTCAAGGGCACTGATCTGCGCCGAACCGAAATTGTCTGCATGGTCTGGGCCATTCAGAACCTCAGTGGCAATTCCTTCTCCAATTACTCGACGTACTTCCTGGAGCAGGCCGGGCTGAGCACTGACAACTCGTATGCGTTCGCCATGGGTCAGTACGGAATCAATATGGTGGGCGTGTTTGGCGCCTGGTTCCTCATGTCCGTGGGCTTGGGACGCCGCTCTCTCTACCTGTACGGCCTCTGCGGGCTGTGTGTCATGCTTCTCGTGATGGGCTTCCTTGGGCTCGTTCCCGAATCGCACAAGACCCAGGGGGCGTTGGCGACGGGCAGCATGATGATTGTCTGGGCTTTGTTCTATCAGCTCACTGTCGGAACCGTGGCATACTCCCTTGTGGCTGAGCTGTCCACCCGTCGCCTGCAGATCAAGACCGTTGTGCTCGGCCGCACGCTTTACAACATTGTCGCCATCATCTGCGGTGTTCTGACCCCGTACATGCTGAACCCCGGTGCTTGGAACTGGAGCAACTATGCCGGTTTCTTCTGGGGCGGGATCTGCTTCCTGTGCATTGTTTACGCCTTCTTCCGGGTGCCGGAGCCCAGCGGCCGGTCTTTTGCCGAGCTGGATGTTCTCTTTGAGCGGGGGGTCAGCGCCCGGAAGTTCCATCTGACCCCGGTTGATGTGTTCGACGAGACGGTGGATCGTGATGTGGTCGAGCACTACCAGACCGAGAAGACCGTGGTTGCTGAGGGGGCTCAGGCCGAGAAGGCGGCCTCGTGAGGAGGTTTTTTTTTGCGTAAGAGATCCTTGTAATACTTTAATAATATTAGATGTACATAGTTACATGTTCGACCATGAAATACGACACGATTAATGATTTCAATTGGGATGTTGCTATTACTCCACTGACGGACAGGGACCATATCCACAGCAACTTGCTGCCTCACCTCGGGACTCCAAGCACCCACCTATTATACCAACCATTCCCGCCTATTCGTTCGACCACTCGGGCTTCTTCTTCCCCGCGAAGGCCTCCATTCCTACCCGCAAGGACACCAGTCAGCTCACACCATCTCTCACAACCAAAACCCCACCTCCACCTCGCTCTCTGTCTCGAGAGAGAGAGAGAGAGAGAGAGAGAGAGAGAGAGAGAGAGAGAAAGAGAAAGAAAAGGCCAAACTCACCAATCTTCTGATCCCGACTCCCAAACAACCCATGAAACACGCGCCGCTCAAACTCGACCCCCTCCCGCAGCGCCAACTCCTGACTCTTATTGACCACCTCCTTGCCCGCCACGACCGCCACGCGCGAGTACCCCGCGATCGTCTCCGCCGTCTTCACAGCTGCGGCCAACACCTCCTCCAGCCCGCCCTCAACCACCTGGGCCGCCACCCCCCACTGGCCGGCCTCCCTCCCGCTGAAATTCCGGCCGGTGAGGATCAGCTCCATGGCTTTGCTCTTCCCGACGGCCCGCGTGAGCCGCTGCGACCCGCCCGCGCCCGGCACCACCCCCAGCTTGATCTCGGGCTGTCCGAAGGTGGCCGTCGCCGTGCAGTAGAGGATGTCGCACATCAGCGCGAGCTCGCATCCGCCGCCGAGCGCGTAGCCGGAGACCGCGGCGATCACGGGCTTGCGGATGCTCGTGGCCAGGTGCGACCACGGCGCGATGAAGTTGGTGGTGTAGGCGGCGGAGAAGGTTAGGGGGGCCATTTCCTTGATGTCGGCGCCGGCTTTTTTTTTGGAGGATTAGTGGGAAGTGGGAAATGGGTCTGGGGATTTGTAGGGATTCTTGCACTTGAAGATGGTGGAGGATTTGTCCTGGGAGGATATGCCCGGGGGAGGGGGAAGGAAGAAGAGGAGGGAGGGGCAACGCACCTGCAAAGGCTTTCTCGCTGCCGGTGATGATGATGGCGCCAATGTCCTTGTCTTCGTCGTATTTGGTCAGGGCATCGTTGAGTTCGCGGAAGAGCGGGCTGGAGAGGGCGTTTAGGGCTTTGGGCCGGTTGAGGGTGACTGTTTGTTTGCGGGTGTCAGCTTCGGATGGATGGGTTTGCTTCAGGTCATTGAGGGCGTACTTAATCCCACGCCCGGCTTGGGAGTTGAGGTGAGAATGTGCTCGTAGGCCGAGGTCGCGGAGGTGTATGTTCGCAGGTGGGTGGACAGCGGCCGGGCGGTCCGCGAGGCGACGAGTCGGGAGCAGTGACGGGCGAACATGGTGGCTTGGAGGGTTCAATTAGTGATTCGATTCAATGAGTAGGGGTGCTAGGGTATTTCAAGTCAATGGGGAAATGGGGAGATGGAGCGGGTTTAGTAGTATGTGGGTTGTTGCGATGACATACTCACCTCACCTTAACTACCTCGAGTCTCCCCGCAGAGCTGCTCGGCCGCGGCCCGCCAATAACCGGTCGGTCCAAGGGACAGCATGTTTGTTCGGTTTGACAGCAGAGCAGCACGTGTAGCACGTTGTCCTTCTCACGTGACAGCTGACTCAGATGAGGCGCAGCAGCGGGTGTCGCCATCTGTGGCTTCCGAGGCCGAAAGCGGCTTAGGGGGAAAATGGACCAGCCAGCCAGCAGGCAGTGGACACTTTTCGGATTGTCCTCTGGCTATCTGCTGTTGGCTGTGCTGTGCTGCCTCTCGCTGCTAACTAAAGTGTTGAACTAACTAACTAACCGACTGCTGCTGTTTCCGTCGCCTCTCCATCGCATGCGCTGACCGGGAGAATATTCTCTATCCTTGCGCTTCTCCGTCTCTCACCCCCTCTCTCTTCCTTTACTCCCTTTACTTCCCTCCTCTTCTTCTCTCTACTTCGATTACACAGGAAGGATTTAGTATCCTTCCCCAACTTCAGCGCCTTCGCCATGGACGTGCCCGAACCCGAGCAGACTCCATTCACTGCCGTCACGGCACAGACTTCCAAACTCGCACGGGTGAGTTCTGTCCTGCTTTTCTCCCTCTATCCGAGGGCATTGATTCTATTCAGCTCGACAATGCCCGCATTGGAAGACTTCCGCAATCCGGAGCGCAGTTTCGGCGAAGTCAAGCGGAATCAACAAGCCCAGTCTCCATACAAACAAATTCACCCGCTGACACACCAGCCTCTTCTACAATAGCAATATCAAACCTACCTCGATGCCTCGACACCTTTCACAGCCTACCGCTGGACTGGCACCGTCGTTCTGCTCCTGATCTTCTTTTTGCGAATTGTCCTCGCTCAGGGATGGTACATCGGTACGTCAACCCCAGAAACCAGAAACCGGAAACCCCAGACAAACACGAACTTGCCCCCACAGAGAGGCACACAGAGCGGCACACAGAGCTAACCCCTCCTCCTGAATAGTCGCCTACACCCTCGGAATCTACCTCCTGAACCTCTTCCTTCTCTTCCTGCAACCCAAGTTCGACCCCTCCCTGACCCAAGACGAAGGCCTGGAGGACGGTGATGCCGGCGCGCCCAGCCTCCCCACCAAGCAGGACGACGAGTTCCGGCCCTTCATCCGCCGGCTCCCCGAGTTCAAGTTCTGGCACTCGGCGACCCGCGCCATCGCCATCGGGTTTGTCTGCTCGTGGTTCTCGGTCTTCGATATCCCGGTCTTCTGGCCTGTCCTGGTCGTGTACTGGATCATGTTGTTCATCTTGACGAGTATGTCCTCCCTGGATGCACCCTACCTACCACCACTCGTGGCATGCATACAATAGAACCAGCTAACTAAACATCCACCCACCCAGTGCGCCGCCAAATCCAACACATGATCAAGTACCGTTACGTGCCCTTCTCTTTCGGAAAGACCCGATACGGCCGCTCGTGATTTTTTTCTTGTCAATCCACTTCAAGAAAGTCAAGTCCAGAAAACCCAGCCAGCGCCAGTCAATCGCACAGATGTCCTAGCGATCTAGCGGGGAAAATCTGTGCTGCAGAAGTCTGGTGTCTGTGTATGATATGATCCAAGTCGATGAATACATCATTATCATCACGCTTCATGTCCTTTTCTTTTTTTTTTTTTTGCCCCTCTTTTGCCCCCGTTGACTCACATTATTGTTCCTGTTCCTCTATTGTGTTTTTTTCTTCTGAGCGAAAACACACACTCGACGACCCCCGATTAAACATGCCCTAACTCAACTTGTCATGTCGTTATGCATTTCCCTCCCCATCCTCTCCGGAATCTTTTCCCTCCTTTTTAATCTCCCTTTCATGTACTCTGGATGTCCTCGACTGGTGAATGTAAATCTTCAAGATGGATCGTCCTCCATCCGAAGCTTCACACCCATCAAGTGCGAAAGGCACAGAACCATGACCAGAAAATGGAGAGCGGGGCATGAAGGAAGCAGCCGAGGGGAGATAAACCTACTTTTTCACCCACCCACCCTATCTTGCCCTTTCACACATCCCCCCCCCCTCCACCCCTGCTCCCCCTAATAATTGAACCTTCGATTGATCTCAACCGATTCCTGATGATGAATGCGTGGCGTGACGTGACGTGACGTGACATGGCCTGGACCCTAACCTTAACATGATCTGACTTGATGATGGAAGGAAGGAAGGAAGGAAGGAAGGAAGTGGGGAGGAAGTGTTGTTGGAGGGTTTTGGGGTTAAGATTAATTCTTCCCTTCACTTATTGTACAGAGAAAAAACCTATTGTTCTTTTTTTATTCTTCCAATCAGTTGCTGTACGCCTTTCATATCCATTCATGTTGGCCCGGGTCCCTGCAATGTCCTTTTGGTGCTAATATACAGTACATAGAGATTTGCATTGGCGATTCAATCAAGGTTAACTGTCTCTTGTCATCGGTATTCGGTATGCGTGGGATAGATGAATTGGGGGCGTGTAAATGCCGGATGGAATTCGATGGATGGTTCCTCATGGAAGTCGGCGGAGTTGACTGTTTGGCTGTTTGGCTGGGTAGATATGAGATAACTTAACTTAGGCTTTGACTCTGATATGATAGCGATAGTATTCTAGGCTTTTACCTCTATATCTGCCCTTTTCCGACTTCCAGGGCTCCTACCATTTAAAACAAGGCGCTTAACTGAAGAACAAGTCCCACCTCCCACACACCCTCACCACCCAGTACACCTGCCCCCTTCCCCCTCACGGCCCCCTTCAGTACCCTACTCACTCATTCAGCGACAAAGCCGACATCGCCCGACTCGGCGCCGGACGATCCAGATCCCGGGTCTTGGTACAGATCCAGGTCGACGCGTACATATTCACACTGGTCACGCATTAGCAGCTGCGGCATGTCCCCTCCCACACACCCCCTATCACTTTATGTGTTGCTTTTTCCAGACGGGAAACTCACCGATCAATACAAGTACCAGGGACCCTGGCCCCGACCCGCTTCGCGGAGAAGCCGTTCGCCTCGAAGTGCCGGATATACCAGGGGTCAATGCTGGCGGACCGGAGGAGGATGCGGCCGCCCTTCTTCAGCGCGTGGTTGAGTTTCTGGGCTTGGGCGGCGGCGGCGTCGCTGGTGGGGTCGAACCAGTCCATTGAGTCCATGATCTATTTTGGACGGGTTAGAAGGGAGTTTTGGGGGAAGGATAAGGGGACAAAGGGGACAAAGGGGCAGGAAGACTGACGACTGCGATGGTGAGACTCCTCGGTGTGATGCGCTTGATGACTTCGTTGATCTCGTCGGTGTGGATGCGGAGACCGTCGAAGGCGCCGGGGGAGGAGAGCTTGACGTGGGCTTTTGGGGTGAGGTAGGCGGGGTGGCATCTTTGCATGAAGTACAACTTTTTAGTATGTTTTCGTGTGGGTATGGGAAGAAAGGTGGGTGACTGGACTAACCTGCGGGAGAATTGGCCCTGCAAACACAGGAAATAGAAGTAGTTGTCATTGCTGATGAGGGTATCCTGGACGACGGGGTCCAACGTGTCCACGACGTACTCCCAGATCGACTGGCCGCTGACGTCCTTGGCCTGCTTCATCTTCTTGTTCAGCCCGTTGCGCTTGTAGAAATCGTCGATGATCATGTTGCGCTGGTTGCGGGGCACCCCGGCCGCCTTCCAGGCGAACCATTCGGTCCCTACGACCGCCCAGTGCAGCGGCTTGCTCATTAGAACGGCGCGGATCCTGGGCCAGATCTTGCGCTGCTCGGCCAGCGTCTGCGCCTCGCAGAGCTGCTGGACCTGGGACTGGAGCCCGAAGACCTTGAAGAGGTACCGGACCATCTTGATGGCATGGCGAGAGCCGCCGGTCTCGTACAGGCCCTTGCCCGAGGAGGAGGCGAAGACGTGCGTGTGCTCGAGCCAGTACTGGAAGGCTTGGCTCGAGAGATGAGGGCTCAGTCTGGTGATGAGGAGCCGGCGGAAGTCCGGGTGTTTGCCCTCGCCAAAGATCTTCCAGACGTCACGGTGGCCAAGTGCGATGAAGCTGGCGACCTTGAGCTCGAGAAGGTGATTTTGATTGGGGTTCAGGTCCACGGCATGCACCCGGCGGGGGCTCTTTTGGAGGTAGTCCAGGATGTTGTCGCCTGCACTGGTGATGGCGAGGATGACGTCGTCGCGCTGGATGTTGAGTAGTTTGTGGTCAACACGGGGGTCTTCCCAGTTGAAAGCATAGATGTACTCGTTGCCGAACTGGGTGTGCTTGGGGAGGAGGTCGTCATAGAAGATGCGGTAATGGTGGTTCTGATAGAATGACGAAGGCAGAGGAAGGTTGGAGCCGAGGTTGATCACGGCAGATTCGTACGCTTTGGATTTGATCTCCTGCGTGCTGCTCACAATAGCCGCATCTATCTCGCTCCGATGCTTCGCGGGAGAGAGGTACGGAGACTCCGTGAAAGAGGCGTTGAGCTTTTCAATGGCATCGCGGCCGGAATGTGTAGTGGAATCCTTCTGGCATCCCACGAAGATGTAGTAGGGAATTCCACCCAACAGGTAATTCCTCTCACTGGCTGAAATCACGGTCCCGAAGCGGTATTCAAGGTAATCACGACGAGCAGCCTCAAGACTGACACGGTCCGCGTCGAACCAGGCACGCCAGAAGGCTCTCCCAAGCCAGTTCACATGGCGATTGAAGGCGCCGCCAATGTAATTGCGTGAGGAGACGTCCACGATGCTTTGCACTGCGCCAGAATTAGTATCCTATGTGCATCATAGCCCACACTCTACATACCATAGAAATCACAAACTCCCACAACGCCAGAAGGCTTGATCAGCGCAGGCAGTGAGTCAATGACGCTGTAGTAGTCTGCACTGGTCAGCATAGTTCTTCTAACGCGGGAGAGGCTACCCACCTGGAATCATAGACAGACTGTAGCTCATGGTAGCCAGATCAGCGCCCGTCGCCGTGGTGGTCTCGCAGCGCGGATCTACCCTGTCCTCCTCGGGCAACCGGAAGGACCTCGCGTCCTGGCAGACGACGCTGACGTTCTTCCAGCCCAGTCTCTGGAAACGCTGGCGGGCAACCTCACAAAGGGAGGGAGAAAGATCGACTAGATAGACGTGCGCGAAGAAGTCTGGCACCGAGAGGAAGGCGGACATCGCTTCGATATTGTATCTAACGATGCAATTAGGATTATCCGGAGGGGCTACAGCTTCAATTGGTGCTCACCCAGTGCCTCCACCAATCTGAACAATTAGCAAATGTGTACGCCCAAGACATTGAAGGAAGAGCTTACATCAACCCAGATGGCTTCTCCAGCTTTGAGCTCCTGGCTGTCAACCTTATGCTTCAATTGCGCAGCAACAAGGCCCAGCATGTCCTCGCGTCCGCGGAGGAGGCGCTTGCGAGTCGCATCGTACACACTGGCCTTGGAGGACTTGTGTCAGTCACGTCCCGGCCTGGCAAGATGACAGGCTGGCATACTTGGGTCTTGTAGAAGCTCTCCAGTGCATCCTGCTGTCCTCTTCCGCTCTTCTCATGAGGCTTGAGGAAGCTTGCGTAGATGAATTTCAGGTAGGTGAAGATGCCACTGTCGTAGTCAACTTTGCGCGTTTGCCGGGACGCAAACAGAACCAGCGCAACGAATCCACAGACGGCAAATGCAGCGCAGGCAATGTAGACATGTAGCCAATCCATGCGTCCTAGAAAGGAGCCGGGAAGGTTGCCGCTGGCAAGAAAACTCATGGCGCACCAAAGGCAATGAGTTGTACTATACAAACACAATGCCTTCCTGTAGGGACTGGACTGAGAAAAAGAAATTGAGTCGAAGTTTAGACGCTCAATTGCTCTCAGCTATGGGAGGGGAAGAAGAGTCTTCTTGAATCAACGGCCGGCTCTGCAGCAGTTGAGGCGCATCTCTTCTGGCAAACAGTTGCCCCACTGATGAGCATGACCCCGCCATCTCCGACAGAATTAGAATTGGGACCAAGATTGGGACAGATGGTCTCCAGAGAGCTATGACCCTATCAAGGAGACACATGGACCCAGTTGGTGATAAGCGGAAGATTAGTAGTTAGTTGGTAGCTAAGGTAGAGAGAGGTAGAGTGTCCAGTTGACTGGCAGTGAGAACTGACTAAGAGGTAGTGAGGGCAAAAGAATCACCGCATCGGCGTATACTTCGGGTAGACCAATCATCGACTGCGCTGCCGGCACGCTTTCAGTGGTTGCCCATGCCTCCTCGCCCAATAATCCCCGCACGGCTGCCATGTGTTGCAATTCACTCGTTCATTTGCTATCGCGCTCTCTGGCACCTTGAAGAATGGAAGGCGTACTTGAGCTCGAAGGATTTGTCTTCAGGAAACACTTAGTTAGTACCTCATGCCCTCACTCCGCGGGGTGTTGCACTGAACCGGCAGTCGAAAAGTCCCATTGATTTATGTCAATGTCAATGAGCTCGCATTCATCAATGATCCTGCCTAAAAAGAAGCAATAAGATTGTTCTACTCGAGACAGGCCAAATACAGTGTCGCTGGCTTTAGTGCCATGCCAATGCCGCGAGTAGCGCGGAAGTTCTATCGCTCCTGTTCCATGAGGAGTAAAGGTACTGTGGAATTCCCTTAAGAGATCACAGCGCGGACCAGGGTCTCGCGGACGATCGACAGCAATCTATTAGTAAGACAAAAGTTCAAGGAGGATAAAGCATCGTTTCTGCATGCTCTCGCATGCCTGGCAGTGATCGCTTCCTCAGGGACCGGGATCAATTGCCACCTGTCGCTTGTCATACCGCACTAGCCTGATCCACCATGAGACCATGACAAGCAATTTGTTCCCACAAGATGGTGAAGTCTTTGAGCGTCTTGGGAGTCCAATTCATCCACGAAGTTGAAGCGAGATCACAATGGATCCATACAAAGACCGGGGATGCGGCCACAGATGCAATAGAGAAAATATGTTGAAAAGTCCCTTTATCGGAAACTTGGCCCCAACAATACGTTATTGTCAATGACTAACTAATGGCTAGCGACCTCGATGATCGCCACATCCCATCAATGCATTCAGAATATGTGAACCTCAGCTCGGGGAGAGCACGGATTTCTCATCGGCCACATCAAAGCAAGAAACAAATCAATCCAGAAACCTGAAACAATGGCATTGCGGCTTTGTTTGTGAGTGTGCGGCGTTGTGGTCTGGCAATCTATAAAACGCAGACATGGGAATCTACCTTGGAGTCGAATAGTAATTGTAATTCTAAGCCTGCGACTTTAGCATCCTCCTTTGTTTTCCATCAAATACGACAATCATGGCTCAGCGAGGGACATTCACCGTGGTGACACCCAAGCCTGCCACGTTCCTCACCATTCCGCCAGAGCTGCACCTCCAGATTATCAAGCTTCTGGATGTCACGTCGCTCGTGCGATTGGGCCTCTCACTCCCCAAGGAATATGGCTTCCTTTGGAACGAGATTCAGAAGAGAGCCAGAATCGGTGCCCTCCCGCCTCAGAAAGTCTACGATAAGCGCATATCGTATGGGGACGACGGTGAGATACGAATCCATCGCTTCGCTGGAGATGCCGAGTGGAGAAGATCCATCCGCGAGCCTCTTGCGGAAGCTGTTCGCGCCGGTCAACTCGACGTTGTCAAATTCTTCCTGGAGGCCGGGGTCAGTGCCATTTCAGTTGACCTGGACGCAGTCCCAATGCTCCATCTCTCCATCAAGGAGTGCCAGTATCATATCACGGAGCTCCTGCTACAGTACAATGCTGACCCAAATGTTGTTTGTTCAACAGCCGGGGGGCAGATGGCATTGGATTATGCGGTAGGTGGGGCCCGTGGCTCGCCGAATTGGGTCCTCGAGATGCTGCTGGCGGCCGGGGCCAGATTCGTTCATGACTCCACCTTCGTCATCTGCTGCACTCAAAGCTGGGGGGCGGCCTGTTTCCGCCTGGCCGCCAAGAACGGAGCGGAGATCCTGCCGAAGACTCCTGACTGTGCTCTCAGACTACAGGCTGCGTATAAGCTTGCGCGTATAGAAGTAATCGATTGTCTCTTGGATCTGAGACCGAGGCTGGTGACTGCGCGTCACAATGGATCATCTGCGCTTGACATGGCCCTCATGTCTGGACGGGAAGATGTTGCGGTCTCCCTTGTTCGCAGAGGTACACCTCTAGACACCAGTGCAGAGCAGCAATTGACCCTTGCTATGCGCTATGGACGGACGAAACTTGTCCGGGAGCTTTTGAAGCATATCCAGCTGGCGAATAAATGCCCGAGATGTAAAGGTGCTGCCATTGAATTGTCGGAAGAACATAGGCGGGAAGCATCTATCATGACCAGCAGTAGACAGCGTTGGCTCAAAATGATATCATAGACTAATCTAACTTGAACACTTGGCCCGGGAGAGAGATGAACTCGTAGAGCGCGATGCGAAAAGTGAAATCGAATGCACCACCGAGAGCAGTGAACTGTGGGGATAAGCCTACCCTGGCAATGTTATCCTGGTGATCCACCTACATGCTTCAAAGCTACAGTAATCAATCGGGCGATAAGCATCGGTTCCCGGCACATCCACGGGTAAATGATCCGCATGGCAGGAAAGTGGCTTGGCTGCGTTTCTTGCAATCGATTCTGTGGAAAGTCGATCTATGTCCGGACTTTCCACAGACCCATCGGTAAATTTGAGCAGAAGTATCCTTGCTTCGCGAGCAATCGATGAGCGACCAGCCACGTTGCTACACCCCTGGTATGGGCACCGCATGCAGTGGAGCCAAGCTACGTCCCCAAGCTCATGGCGGGGGAACCTTTTGATAGTGATTAGTCGATCAGGGGGAGATAACACACTCCCACCGGGTTGCGCGGCTGATCGATTTCCCTTACCAGTTTCTTTTCTCCACTGCAGCATAGACCCAAGTATGAAGAACGTCGTGACCAAGTGATTTGCAGTGTGTCATCATGATTGACAGATCACTGTTCGGACATGAATGCGTGCATGGGTGCATTGCTGACCATTCCGTCGAGTCGCAGAAGCGCCGAACTAAGACTAAGCAATCCGCAGGTTGACTAGTCATCGCATGCAGGATGCGTCGTGATAGAGGAAGCCGATTCCACGCATATCACACAAGTAATGAGCAGCCTATACATGAATACGTATCGCGACTCACGAATGCCAAGTCACGGCGCATACTGAGGGATTGACAGGGAAACAATATTCGCCGTCCACATTCCGTGCTCCGACGAACGATGGCATGATAAGCCGTATCAATGAGCTACACCGTAGTATCTCATGGAAGCGCCTAATTGATACTGGCCCAGATTGACCAGAATCAGCTGCGATAAGACCAGGGCTCTCCGATCACTGAAAAGGGAAAGTGGTATGAAATCCGTCCCTTGGGAGTTTCGGACATGGGATGCCTTGCCGGCCGAAGCGAGTGTGCTAGAAGTGAGTTGGCGCAAGGTTCCCTTGACCGTTCAGCCTGACTCAGGTCAAACTTCTGCTGAATTCCAGCAGGATCAAAGGGGGGGGGGGGACCCCGTAGGGTATGGGGTCTACAGCGTATATCAGAGTACCTTATTTTAGGCGTTTGGAGGATCCACCGGGGAAGCCGGCGGCGGCGGGCGGGCAACCCAGATCGACCTCACGTGCCCCATTTTCTCCCCCTTCCCGTCCCCGGCCCACTTCACCGCCCTCTTCAAGTGCTCAACACTTTCAGCCTTTGAGCCTTGGAGGGACTCGTCCTTCTCCGGCCCGGTGGATGGCCAGATCAATCAGGCAAGGAGCTTGTTGGCATCTGCTGGAGTGCTTAGTTCAAGGTTACTATTGGCGACCATCGCGGTGATCCTTTGCAGACCTGCCAATCAGCGTGGGGCGGAACATCATCAGATTCTCTGGACACGAATCCTCGGTAAATACTAGGTACCTACTCCGTAGGTACCAGTAACTTAGTTGTTGAATCGTCTAGCTCGCTTCTCGAATGTTGTTGGCTGATCCTGCATTGCGTCACGGCTCCCCCCCCCCCCTCCACTCTCTCTCTATCTGAGTTATCACGGAGTAAGTTACGGAGTGAGAGTCAAACGGAGTATACTACCACACTGGAAAGAAACCTTGTATTACCCTCGTTTCTGTTTGTCACAAGCCAAGTGCAGTTCAGCGTTTGTACTGGATCTCGTTTGTAGTCACTACCCAATAATTCCATATGCTCCCGCCAAGTCCGGGGCGTTTGTTGAAGCTGGTCTTGATAGGATGATGCGGAGAAAGGTGGTTTCAGGACTCCTGATGATCTTAAAATCATCGGGAGGGGTAATCATGAAAAAAATCCAGCTTTCCAGACAAGAAAGGATCAGCTTCACTGCTTCAGTAAGTCCTGGCTGATATGCAGAGCACGTCCACCGGCAGTACCGCTGATGCCGCAGGTGGGGAGAGGATGCGAGAGGGGACCCCAATCTATCTGCCTCGAGAAACAAGCACATCCCTGAAAGTAGCCAACCATTCAACTGACAATTAAGTAACTTCTCTGCTCCCGGTGTACCGGAAAGTTAGTGATTTGTCCGCCCAGGAGAGTTCATTGGCTGCTCCATACATACTTGTGCAGCGTCCTTTGTAGCGCCGGCAAGCAAATCCTGATGGTGTGAGCGAGAGCAAATATGCAGGCCTGTTGGAGGTACAGTACATTACATCTGCAGAGGGCAGGTCCCGTCTTGGGTGGTATGTAGTCTGTAAGTAATGTAAAAAATGTAAAGAAATAGGCAGAAACAGGCCGAGCAGGGAGTCAAGTCAATTTGCGTAGCTAACCATGGTTGACCCCTCCCATGACCTGTCATTGCCCATTTCTGGGACAACTGGTTAAATGATTAATATTAAGTTGTTACCTTCCAAGACCGACTCTCCAAGGCCTGACCCCCCTGATGGGAAGATGCAGTGGTAGAGGAATAAGCGAGAGGCCCAAATCAGAAGAGATGCGAGTAAGATCACCGATAAGAGTAATGCCCAAGCATTCTGGTTTCCTATTTTGTCTAGCAGGACATCAGAAGAGTATACTAGTCGGTCGGGATGCGAGATGGTGGTCCCATCTTAGTTACCACTATTAGACTTGGCTAGACCGCCCGCCCCCAGTGTGTCCCCAGTCGTGTGGGCGGGTGGGTAAAGGGAAGAAGCAAAGTAAAGCAAAGTAAAGCAAAGTGAAGTAAGGCAAGGTCTAACTTACAGTAGGGCCGGGGCTGTAGGCTGTAGCTCATTCAATTCACTCACTCACCCACCTCTCCCCCCCTCCCCCCCAACGGGTTCCTGCAAAACGGCTGGTCATCGAAGTACTGCGCAGTAACTACAGCTAGCTTCCCCAGGAATTTAAACTTGGCTTCCTCCCTCGTTTTCCTCCTCTTCTTCCTCTCTCTCTCTCTCTTCTCCTCCCATTCTCTACTTCTGCTCTTCTACTCTCCTACTCTGTTACTCTCTTACTCTCTTATTTACTTCATCCCCATCTTTGGTGACTGTGTAAATACATATACTCATACTCGCATCTGTCTACTCCAAGCTTACCCTACCTGTCTTGTTTACTGTATACTTGGCGCTGCCTTATCCGATAACCCTACATACCTTAACTCAACCATCTCGGTGTATCGAGTATATCACCTGCCATCCTCATCCATCACCCTACAAGGAATCTATCAGCTATCTCCAACGATTCACAATGGCAGCTCCTCGCTCAAGTTCCCTGCGTGCTCTTCGTCTGCTCTCGCAGCACCACGCTACCACCCTCCCCTGCGCTCGCCGGGGCCTGCACATTACCGGCGTCCACTCGGCGCAACCGGCCAACGTTTCAGACCGAACCTCTCTGTACTCCAGCCGCACCATTGCTGATCTCAAGAACGAGTGCCAGAAGCGCTCCTTGAGGAGCAGCGGTACGCAAGCCGAGGTAAGTGCCATACTCATCATTCTACCCTACACCGTGCCCATGGAAGGGACGTACACTGAACCCAGGCCTAACTCTCAATCCAGCTTGTCGAGCGTCTCCAGAACCATGACTTCCTTCAATCCCGCGCCTTCAGCATCGCCATGCGCCGTATCAGCGGCAATTCTGTTTCCGAGTATGTTCCCCCTGAACCTCTCTCTCTCACTCCCTCGGTAAAACTGGGAATCCTCGGAACTGACTTCTCGTGTGGAAACAGAGAAACCCACAGCCGTCAATTCAACACTTCCCGGTCCATGAAGACCGTGGGTGACTCGTCCACCGTCGATTTCGCCTACATGCCCTCACTGGCGGAGCTCGATGGCCCGGCCGCTCGCGCCGATCCGCAATTCCCGATTGTCCCCGACTTCTACTCCCACCAGAGCGCGGCCGCGGCGGATTCCCCCATGAAGCCCCAGATCTACACCGTCTCCGGCGGGGCGGCCGATGTCTCCGCCAGTCCGATGACGGAGGTCGTCGACAACCACTCGGTGGACATCGACCCCTTCTCGCTGACGGAGGCGGTGGGCAAGTCCCGTTTCGGGGCGGAGTCGACCCAGCAGAAGGAGCCTGGTGTGTTCCGCGAGCTGTGGACGGGGGTGGTGGATGACATCTTAGGTAGACAGCCGGCTGTTGTCAGAAAGTGATGCGTCCCACCCGGGGATCGATTTTATCCCATTTTCAGAATGTCGTGATTGTCTCTAGCGATGCGTGATGTTTGTTGTGTTGTCCTTTTTTATAGTCATAGTGTTATCACCAGATTAAGCTGAAAGTGTTAAAAAATGACAGATCTATACCTAAGCATCGAATTAATCTGTCACCACAACATTTCCTAAAATAATGTAGAACATCAATCAATCCATCCATCATCCAGCCCACGCGACACATAACAGACCAATATTTCACATACGCATGATCATAGACACTGCACATACATAGTAAAAAGCTCCGATAAACCGAACCAATCCTTCTCGAAGGGCCACTAAGTCAATTACCCCAGAGAAATTGAGTCACCGCCGCCGGGGAAGTACCACCCAAGTCCGACCAAAGGTTCCCACACCCCATATTTTCTCAACCCGAAGGTACGTGGGAAAAGAAAAGCCTCCCTCGGCATTCGGCAATGAGGGATAAACTTTAAGCATGCGGAACCTCTTCTATGTACATACCGCCATAGGAGGTCGATCTCGGGTGGAAAGGGAAAATTCATGATGTCGGCCAGGTGGAAGGGAATGACTCCCCCCCCCCAGCATCAAAGATTATCCGATATCTCCCGAGGGGTTTGGGAATTGTGTTCTTCCACTAACTTACCCACCCCCGTCGTTTGAACGCATGATGTTTACCGTGAGGAGAGGAGCAGGGTGCTCCGGGCGAGTGAGGGTGTCAGTATACTTCGTTGGGGGATCGTCTGATCGCTGCCCGGGGAGGTGCGCCGGCAGTCGATTCATCGCTGGGTCTGTTTGTATTTTGAGAGGTTGGGTGGAGGTTGTGCATGAATATGCTTTGTGCATTAAGTTGTGTATTTTGATGGGGCATAGTGTACAGTAAGTACTCTCGTTTGTTGGGTTATTTTGTCAATGTGTAGAGGAGCAAACGGATGTAGCCCATTGTTGACACTGCCTGCCAAGTCCAAGCTTTGAAATAGGACTAGCGCGATGGTCCAGGCTAGCTAGCTAGCTACCTCGGCTACAGCCTACCTGAAGATAAATGAGACAGTTTATTTTTGTTTAGAAAACCACCTACGCTCCCTTTCTGCGAGTGTTTCTCCTTTTTCAGACTTTGGTCATCATCATCATCAGTCTTCCCGACGGGGGACTGCTGTCGAACTCCTTGGGCCAATCGACAGCTCTTCAACTCCTCGTTCTGTGTTCCCCTCTCATGAGTCCATTCCGTTCATGCGTTGGGTGTGGAATCAGCGAGAGGCAGAGGGCGATGCGATGTGCTTGTGTGACCTTCAAACGGTGGGGTCTCGGCTCAATCAAATCAAACAGATAAATGCGATCGCAGCTCGTGTGATGTTTCAGATGAGCTGAGAAGACGAACACCCTCGCACAGGCAGCACGGCTTTATTTAGCAGGATTTCCAGACGTCAGAACTTTGGTCGGTTTAGGCTCTGTGTGCGGTGCTGTGCTGTGCTGGGCCTTACAGTGCACGGCAGTCACCGTCAGTCAGCACTCCGCCTACAGCATCAGGCCCGGAGTCTTCGGTGGTTCTCGAGGAAGATCTGGCTGTCCGTCAGATTGTGGTTGCACGAAGCGTACCGTAGATGAATCTAGCAACTGGTGGCTGGTATTAGTTGTATTCTCTGATGAAATGTCAGCAGCACTGGCATTGTTATGAGTATTATTATGAATATGAGGAATCATCTCCTTATGCTTATGCTCTGGCATTGGGAACAACACTTGATGGGATCCACTGTTGTTGCCAAGTGACGCAGCCCAGAGTGACTGGAACGGTCGACTGCAGGCCAAGTGCAGAACCCCTCAGTGGTACGCATTTTGAAGGGGTCGTCGTCAGCAACAGTGGGAGGCGATTGACAAGTATATTCACATACAGGTCGAATAACTCTCAACTAGGGCATTGGATGTTCGCATTCTTGCAACATTGGGAAAGAATATATTGCTCCATGTCACCTGCAATTCGTGTATCTGCACTCACTCACTCACACTGCAGGGTGCATGAAATTGGAATTGAAGTGGGCTAACTCAGGGGAAAAAAAGATCTGGGTCTGGATCGCAGGGCGGCAGCCAGTGGCAGCCAGTGGCAGTCCGTCCTCCCGCTCCGAAAACCTGCCGAGTGGATCCGGAGCATCAGCTAAAAGTAGTTTCCTGATTGTCCCTCCACATCCACATCCACATCCACATTCAATTCACTTCTCTTCTTCATCCTCTTTCACTTTCTTCTCAGTCTCTATTCTTCACCCTGTACAGTACATTCTTTTGCTGTTTGTTGTTGCAGTTGCGCTCTTGCTGCTGCATCCCATCGTTATTCTCCGCTATTCTGCTCATTAGCCTCTCGTTTGCTTCATTGTTTCACTGCAGACTGCGAGTCGATCTTTTCCCCCGCTGCTTCGGATTTAGAAATCCACGAGTCTATCACTGTCCTCACTTATCTAATCCAGAGCAGTATTGTGTGGTCTAGCATACTCTTGTAACTTTTCATATTGCATCGCAACTGAACCTTCTTTCTTTTTTCCGAGTACAACCGAAGCTTCCGGCACTTGATTAACATCGAGCCGTCTTGCAAATGAGTCTCCGGGTCGTCTCTCAGGGATTCTAAATCGTGCTCGCATCATGAATCAAACCAGATGTCTTCTTGTCGCTGCTTGTATCTGGACCGCGGTCTTCGCCTTCATCCCTTATGAATTCAATCTCGATCTTCCGGCCGCAAAACACACCCCGTCTCGTCGCTTTTTGCCCTGGGAATCACTGAGCGATGCACTTGCCAAAAGCCAAGACCAGACTAAAACCGATGAGCCCATAACGCTGGATGTGAAGAGAGCCCCTGTCCGTCGCAGCAATGACTTCGATATCGTCCTATCCAAGACGCCCTCCTGGCCCGATACCGCTGCTCTCGACCAGAACGGCAATGACCTGACTTATTTCGCTGTGGTTAAGATTGGTTCCGAAGCGCAGGAATTTTATCTGATGCTAGACACGGGTGGCACGAATTCGTGGGTCTTCAGCTCCGACTGCACCACCAAAGCCTGCAGCATGCACGACACCTTTGATGCAACGAGCTCTTCGAGTATCAATGTGACCACAACCGAGTGGAGTGTCGGCTACGGCTCCGGGTCCGCGAGCGGCGTACTGGCTACGGACAACGTGACGATTGCAGACGTGGAGGTGCAATTCACGTTTGGACTGGCCACCAACGCCTCGAACAACTTCGAATCATACGCCATGGACGGGATCCTGGGCTTCGGCCGCTCCAACGACACTGCGTACAACACTGCCACCTTCATGGACGCTGTGGCAGACCAGAAACACTTCGATTCCAACGTCGTTGGCTTCGCTCTCTCGCGAACCAAGAGCGGCGAGAAGGATGGCACCGTCACGATCGGGGGAGTGGACGAGGACAAGTACACCGGTGACATCTCGTACACGGACACTGTGATTGGATCGGGGAACTATTGGCGCATCCCCGTCGACGATGTCTACGTCAACGGAGATGCCTGTGACTTTACCAAGAAATCCGCCATCATCGACACGGGAACATCGTACGCCATGCTCCCCTCTAAGGACGCGAAGACGCTGCACGCGCTCATCCCGGACGCCACCGCCTACGGCGACTATTTCCTGCTTCCGTGCAACTCGACTGCCGAGGTCCAGGTGGCCTTCTCCGGGGTCAACTACACGATCTCGCCGGAGGACTACATCGGCTCCGAGTACAACTCTAGCTGCATTTCCACGATTGTCAGCTACGACTTGTTCGGAGATAACATCTGGCTTCTGGGTGACGTCTTCCTGAAGAACGTCTACACCGTGTTCGACTTCGACGCGGCGCGGGTTGGTCTGGCGGCCCGTGCCTACAACAAGAACACCACATCATCCAGCTCAAGCAAGACCAGCAGTTCATCCTCTGGCTCGTCCGCCAAGTCTACTGCATCTTCCAGCTCGACCAATTCCACCGGCGTGGTCGCTAGCGGCGCAACAACCCAACTGGGTTCCAGATACTACCTGCCTGCGTTTGTGGTCGTCTTATGCACTGTTCTGCTGTAGACGGCCTTGTCCACAACCAACCAAACTTTGGCCTTCTTGCACATACTGGGAACATTGAAAACTTCACTTCTTTCATCTACTGTAGTAGATTGCGCCTCTGCACACGCATTTCCGAAGATAACCCATGTGGTAGTCTATTCTTAGTCTACAAATAGAGTTATTCTTCCTGACCAAAACCTTAAATTCTGAGCTATTGTTTCATCTTTCCCCGAGAAGCCCTCACCACGATTATGTGCTCTATCTATACAGCGTGGCGGAAGGGTCCACTTACACTATGGCAGACAGCCTATAGAACCCGATCCGGTATCAAAGTGTACGACTTGGGGTATGATTCTGATCGCAACCGTCAGCTGTTTCCATTCACCCCACACCTTTTTGTCAGGGATACATACCCAGAACGGAGCGATCAAAGTCCTCCACGCGATTGAACCCCGCGACGGCCATGAGGATATCGAAGTCGGCCAGCAGCGACTTCATGACGTGGCGCACGCCCTCCTCGCCCATGATACTGAGGCCCCACACCCACAGCCGGCCGACGAAGACGAAGCGGGCGCCCAGCGCCAGCGCCTTGGCGACGTCACTGGCGCCGCGCACCCCGGAGTCAAACATGACATAGATCCGGTCCCCGACGGCATCCACGATATTCTCGAGCGCGTCCAGACTCGCAATGGCGCCGTCCACCTGCCGACCGGCGTGGTTACTCACCACGATCCCATCGACCCCATACTCAACACACTTCCTGGCATCGGCCACGGACTGGATCCCCTTGATCACGAACGGCCGTCCCCCGGAGATCTCGCGCCACCGCGCCATGAGCCAGGGGATCTTCTCCCACGACCAGGCGCGCCCGTGCCACACGGAGTCGATCCACTTGGTCGACGCGGCCACCTGGTCGTTGTCCGGGTCAATGCCGTCCTCCTGACACCGCCGCCGGAACACGGGGTCCGTCCGCCCCAGATCCGCGCCGATGCCGCGGTAGAACGCGTAGTTCGAGCTCGCGACGTCGTCGTGCCGCCACCCGAGCTGCCACGTGTCGGTCGTGAGGATCAGGGCGTCGAAGCCGGCGGCCCACGCGCGCCGCAGGAGCGACAGGGTGAGTTCGTCGTCGTGCGGCATGTACAGCTGGTAGAAGCGCGGGTTGCCGGCCCCGTTGGCGGCGCCGACGGCCTCGATGGGCGTGCTCCCCGCCGTCGAGAGGCAGTAGGGCAGCTTCAGCTCGCCGGCGACCCGGGCGACGGCGCGCTCCGCGCTCGCGTGGTAGATGGCGTTGATGCCGATCGGCGCGAAGCCGATCGGCGCGGACACGCGGTGCCCGAAGATTTCCGTCGACGTATCGCGCAGGTTCGTGTCCACCAGCTGGTTGGGGATGAGCCGGTGGCGGTAGAAGGCTTGTCGGTTCGCCAGGTGCGTCGTCGATTGGCCCGCGTTCGAGGAGGCGTAGTACCTGTTCCCCCCGCCGGTCAGTTGGGTCTCTTCATGGGGAAGTTCGGGTAAAGGGCTGCGTGCGTACCATCCGCCCTGACTCAGTTTGCGTTTGGCTTCTTCTTCGAGCTTGGTGGGATCTATACGTATCGCGCAGTGTAGAGGATTAGTCGGGGCATGCAAATTCATACTTTCCAATCTTGCAACTACGGGGCTAAGTACATACCAGTATTGAACGGCGGGGTCTGCCCCTCATTCGCCTTCCAGAAGTTCTCGCGCTGGTATAATGCCCACTGCGGGGTGGTGCGTTTCTCGATGTTCGGGTTGTGCGGGTCGCTCATTGTGTTCTTGTTCTTCGGGAGTCGGAGTAAGGTCTAAGACTCTATCTGTGTAGTCAATTCGATAAGTTCTATAGTGTTGTAGATTCTAAGTACTGAGGGATGATTTGATGAGCATGTTCTTGGCGATCGGAATTGGTATTTATAGAGAGGTTTCCATTGTTGTTGTAGATTTGGGTCGGGATGGATGACTTCACATTGACGCAGACGCAGACGCAGACGCAGACGCAGACGCACTTCTCGGGCGAGAGAGGTGCCTGAATCCGGGGGAGTCCGATATCATCCACCGTTGATGGTCCGGTCCATTTTTCTTCATGTGATTTTCCCTGGGAGTTGTCCAAATGCTACTTCATCCACATATTATACAGTTATCAAGTATTGTTACGGCCGTTATGGGCTACAGAAACTCAGCCGGAATCCCATTCCAATTGGTTATGTAGGTATTCATCCACCCCACCCTAGAGCCATAGCTTTTCCTTCCTCTTTCCTCTACTACAAGAAGAACTACAAGGTAACTACTCCGTAACACTATCCCGCAACCCGCGCAGCGCACTCGGCTCCTTCGCCGCCCCCAGCGCCAGCGCCATGGCCGCGGCGTTCTCCGACCGCCGGCGCGCGTCCGTCCACACCATGAACTCGCTGTACGTGCGCGGCATGACCTGCACGTCCTTCTCCACGAGGAAGGTGTAGTTGAACATGCCCGTGGGCTTCTTGGAGCCGTGCGCGACGTCCCGCACCTTGGTGTCGACGCGCACGCGCACCTTCGTGTACTGGCCGCCGCCGATCTCCAGGGGCTCGGTGTACGCGACCGTGGCCCGCAGGTACAGCACGCTGCCGACGGGGACCGAGTTCTCGAAGGTGCTGGGGTCCAGGGAGACGAAGTTGGGGCGCGCGTGGCTGGCCGAGGCGGCGCAGCAGAAGGCCAGCTCGAAGGTCTGCTTCAGCAAGAACCCGCCGAAGATCATGAAGTTGTGGCGGTTGCGATCCTGCGGTTGCATGATCATGGCGGATTTGAGGACCGAGTCGCTCATCGAGATGGTGTTGGAGGGGCGGACGGCCGGGGAGGAGGGGTCTTTCCGGGGGTGTTAGAATTGGGGTGAGTTGGGGGGATTGGGGGAAAGTTAAACAGAAACGCACTCAGGTAGGACATCTCCTTCGTCCACATGGAATGGATCAGGTTACTTTCGCGCTCGTTGGGCGCCTTTTCGAGGAGACTTCGCGTGCGAAGGGCCTTTTTGGCTCGCGAGTTCTCCTCGCCCTTTTTGTAGAGGAGGCGCTCTTCGGCGGTTTCGACGAGGAGCGGCGCGATGGGGACGGGTCTGGTTGCAGGTTTTGCCTCGTGGTTAGCAACGGTTGACTTGTCGGTCGTTGAGAGAGCTACGTACTTCTTGGTCGCGGGGTCCAGCGACACCATCGTGAACGCGCAGGTGATCAAGACGTCCTCGGGCTTCGCTTCCTCGCCGGCCGGCGGGGCTTTGGCCACCTGCAGCGACACCTCCATACTCGACCGCCCCGTCGCGTAGGTGACCTGGCCGCTGAGCTCGAGGTCGCAGATCTCCATCAATGGGTGCTCGATGGTGATGCGGTCCACGGCCGCGGTCACCGTCGTGACGTGGTCGCCGGTGTGTCGGTAGGCGATGACGCCGGCCAGCGCGTCGAGATCCATCAGCAAAGATCCGAGTCTGTTGTTCCGTCTCAGTTCTGTGTCTGCAGGAATTTCCTTCTACAGGCTAAGGAGTACAACGCACCTGATATGACCCGAGGCGTTGAGATAGGTGTCCAAAAGCCACTTATCTTGGGCTAGGGGGAGAATCTGGAGATAGAGTCAGTAACCGTGTAAGTAGGTTCTACGACGTGTTTTACGAACAGCCTTGTAGTAACTGTCCGACATCCTCTTGGGCGTCAGATCGGGTTTCCCCGACGTATAAGGCGCACCAGCCTGTCCTGATTGCGCCGCCTCGCGGCTCTTGGTCAGGGCTTCGATCCAAGGGGTCTTAACCCGCATGGGCAGCCAGGTCGGAGGAGGGTGGGCTGCATCGGCGCGGCTGGTGTGGAAGTCTCGGCTTGCGAGCAGTGACGGTGACAGTGCCGGGTGCTGCTGTGTGGTTGCGCGGTTGATGGTGCTGGAGAGGCATTTCGAACGGGCGACGGCGGACCGTCTGGTACTGAGGCCGAACATGACGATGATGTGGTGTCACCGAGAGTAGCTACAAGGTTCAGAAAATGAGGTGAAGGGAAGTAAGTAAGTAAGTTTATGGAGGCCCGACGATACGAGATATGTAGATGAAAGGATGATGCTGCCTCGGGCTCGGCAGAGACAGGCCGGCTTCGGCTTCTGTCGCCGGGGCAAGTCGGGAAGGCTGTCTCGGAGCCACCCGCGGCATTGGGGAATGGGGAGTGGCAAGTATACAATGATGAAGCCTAACACTATGACACTAGGCTACGAAGTAAGCAATTGCTCTCCCCACATGCCCTGCAGTAGCCCGGCAGTTCCTGTCGAGTCCGTCCTATGACATCATCACTTCGGCCAAATGCCCTCGTCGCCGGCAAGAATCCCATGGTTTGGATTGGTTCTTGGACCTCGATCTTGACTTTTTTTTTTTTTTTCTGTCTGAAATGAAACTCGGAAATTCTAAAAATATGTACATCAACCAACCCTAACACCAGCTAAGTCACGAAACACAATTCATGCTCATGGCCTATACAGAAATGGGCCTGGCTGACACAATGACAAGGGCTGGCTAAAGGTGAAGATACAGAAGAGAGAAAGAGAACAAAACAGAAGGTAGAAAAACAACCAAGCGTTCAGACAGAGTAGACCCAGGAGTTTTTGCATATGCTATTGACCCCAAACAAACATGAAATAATGTTGGAAATCGACCGCACCCCGTTGCCAGATTGATTTGCCGCCACCGTTTCCCCCGAGCCCGGCCCCCTAGACTCCGTTTGTTTTGCCCAAAACCGATACATGGGGAGTAAAGAAACAAGAATAAAAATAAAGAAGAGCATGTTGTCGTGTCACATTAAATCGCCACTGATCCAACGTCTTTGGCTCATATGTAAGAGACCCAGATTCGGTGATATGGAACCATTCGTTGCATCCACTAAGATGTTCGATATTTTCAAGATAAAAGTAATTTCAGGGCCGACGCTTGGCCAGACATACCCGCACTGGGTTCGACTCGCCGGAAGCAGCAACGGGCGATTGTTCTGACTGATGTCGAGTCGGCACTTAGAATGTCGGCAGTCTTTGCACCAGCCGGCGGAATGCCGCGTGTCGAAATGTGACAGGAGAGTCATCGTGACGGATCTTGGAGGCCGAGGAAAGACTGACCAGGCGAGCAGTAAGTCCTCGGTAAATTCGAGAAAAAATATGTCCGTAATCCATCGAGTAAGGGATTCTGTGGTCCCACAAATCGACACGGCGGAGCCATGTTAAATGTCAGCAACCACCAAGTACCTCGTTGATCTTGTTGTTCGCAAGCGAGACACCTCCATTCTTGGGTTCTGGCGGAGCTTCCTCCTTCATGCATGCATTTTCCAAGATATTGGTCCACTTCCCACTCGTGCCTGCATGGCTGTGCTTGAGATGCTGGCGGAAATGGTCTGCACGGAAGAACTTCTTCGCATTGTTGCATTCGCCGAACTTGTGTACGACGGTGAGATGCTCGAATCGGCGGTCCCAGTCTGGTTGGGGATGATTGGGAAACTCCTCGCCGCAGTAGCCGCAGGTGTCATGTGACGGACCGGCCCCGGTCTGTCCGGAAGTGGACGAGGGATGGAATGCTGCTTGGTAACTCGACAGAGCAGCACATGACCACGAATGCCGTCGCAAGTGGAGCGAGTTTTGATGGCGTTCGGCTTCGTTCTTGTTCTTGAACCTATTGTTACAGTAAAGGCATGAATATTGCTTCTCCATCTCATGCGAACTGTCCATCATTTTCAGGTTAGACATTTCCCATACCAGATTCAGAAAAGGATAGCAGCTTACCGGAGCTCCTCGGGGCTATCGAATTTCTTCGGCTTCTTAGGACAGCAATCGCAAATGTACAATCCGCCAAGCTTGGGTCCTGTAGGCTTCGGTGCAGGATGATTCGTCTGCAAAGACATTTTGCGCGCGGTTTCGACACTCGAAGGTTCAATAATGCTAGGTCCCTGGATGACTCGTGCGACTGGTGGTGCAACCATGTGAGCGGGTGAAGTCGGATTCATGATAGACTTGTCGTGAAAGGTATCAAGGTCAGACTTGGGTGAAAGCCCTCCGGGAGAACGATCATAGCTGGTCATGCTACTGCCTCCCACAGATAGTCCCGCCGACGAGTAAGATCCGGTAGTCCGTATGCTCAACGATGAGGCCGCCGAATGGCTCCCGTGACCGGCAACATAACCAGAATTGACGGTCAAATTGTTCGTGTACGGTTGACCACTAGTTCTTCGTTGAGTGAGATCCCCGTTGCTGGTAATGATATGAAGTCGATTTCGATCGTCACCCATCGGCTCACGAGGAGGAGATGATGCTCTTCTTTTCAACCCCGAAGATTTCGAAGCATCCGAATACGGCGGTGTGGCTTCCCGAAGATAAACCATGCGGGACGGGAGCGATTCGTCCGTGGAGAAATCGCCTTCGATATCCGAAAAGACGCCATGATCGTAGCTACCTCGGTGTGAGCGGCTGGGAAGACTGATAGTCTCATCGTATGAAGGTGTTGTTCCACCGCGACGGCGGTATACCTCCCGCAGATACCCTGAATGGTCGAGATCGACGGCAGATGACGGAGCGCTACTCTCGACACTGGGGCTGCGGCCCCCAATGTAATCCCTCCATCCAACCTTAGTACCAGGCGAGACCCCCCCTGATTGATAGCTTCCAGGCCCAGGCCATCTTACGTCGAGAGCCGAACTGTCCGAGCCTCCAGGCGAAGGGATGCCGCCATAATTTCGTGTAGGAATGGTGAGTGTAGAAAGGGTGGCTCTAGGTTCGCTTCCACCGCTGATAGACTGGCGCGGGGAGAGTGGCTTTCCGATTTTCGACAGCAGGTGCTGATCGTACGCATCTGATGAATCTTTCACACTTCTCCGCGAAAAATCTCGCTCTCCTTTCAAGATTGGACTTGGGCTTTTGATAGAGATCGCATTCCGGAAGCCCTCGTCCATGGGCGGTGGGGGTTCAATCCGAATGTGCGCTTCAGGGCTCCTGGATAGTGGGAACCCACTTTGCCGGCCGTCTAAGTCGTCGAGAGCCATGCGATCACTTAGCGACACTGCTTCAGGCCGGCGGTGACCACCGAACAGGCTCGAGCTAGGATTAATGGGGGCGAGTTTTGTCGTTCCTCGGGAATTCGCGTGCAACCAGCCAGCGTCGTAGCCGTCTTCGAGATCACTAATTCGGGGCGGCGGTGGTAGTGGCGGAGGGGCGAAATTCGGAGTCAGATTGTTGCGAATAGGCATAGGCCCGTGGGATGGATAGGAGTTTCCAGACATCGTTCCTAATGGCTGTGCAGGCAGGTTTGAAGTTTGAGGCTCACTATCCTTGTTAAAGTCGTATATGTTAATCGAAGGAAGCGAGATTCGCGGCAAGTCCATCGTACACCAACAACCACAAACAGCTGCTCATCGGCAAGCCCGAAAAGATCAAGCTGAGGTAGAGCTGAAGCGTGCCAGTGAGACTCGCAGTTTTGAGGCTGGACAGAAGTGGCGATGTTCCGATGTGCGCCCGTTACGGCCGCTATAAAAGTGGCTGGCTAAACGAACTTCCGACACTAGACAAAAGCAACTATGCCGAATGCTAGATAGCAGTTGCAAGACGACCAACGAACAGCTTGGTTTAATTTAAACGGCGAGTCGGTAGCGATACCGCAATCGCAAGATTGGAAAGTTGTCTTCGGGTGCTTGACAAGTCAGGTGGATATGACCTCATATATCTAGGGCAGGAGGCAAGTCGGCCTTACCTCGATCAAGAGGTACCTGAATGACTTCCGAGGTCGAAAGAGGGGAAGAGTTAAAAGTCCTTGATACCGATGGGGTTCTTTCGCAGTTGCGCATTACTCCGGAGAAGCGGTTGTGTGCCATCAAATCGCCAGCAGCGGCAACTTATCGACGGAAGACGGCGCAGACACAGCCGAGCATACTGAGAAGCTTTAAACAAGTAGTGCGATTAGATGTGGAATTCTGGAGTTTAACCAGGGACGAGAAGAAGAAACCGAGAATCGATCGACCATGCGAGATCCTCGAGGGTTCAGAGAATGTTAGGTCTTTTCGAATTACTCTGGCCTAGATTCAAGCCTGTTCGACCAGAAGACGGAGTGACCAGAGGTTCGGAAAAGAGCAAGCAGTAGAACGCGTGAGAGAAGTAGGAGCTGTAAATGAATGGAGAAGGGAGGCAAAAAGACTCAGGAAAGGAGAATCGAATGTCACATGCAGCTGCTTTCCGTAACGAGAAGCGAAGAGAGACCCAGGTCAAGGGCGGGTGGAGGCGCAATGCGGGTGAAGGTCAAGGTTGAAACTAATGTAGAGAAGAGGAAAAGAGGAAGACACCAAGTTTGGGTACTGCACGGCAGTTATGCGCGGAGAAGGGAAAAGGATAGGAGCTGTAATAAGGTAGTAACTGTAGGTGTTGGTGAAGAGTGCGAGTAGTTAAGTTGAGGCGAGTTTGGAGGTGGGAGAGAGAGAAATGAATAATGAATGGGTGGTGCAAACCCCAGTCTTATTGGTGGTCCCTACAAGGCTCAAGGGCTCGTGGGAGGGAGTCCAAAACCACTGACTGTCTGTCAGACCCAAGGTTAAATCCAAACCAGATTCCCTGGTTTTCCCGGTTGGTCTCACAGTCGTTTTGTTTTTTTTTTGTTTTCCCCTTCCTTTCGTGTAAGCGCCCAGTTATTGGTGGTGGTGGTGGTGGTGGTGGCGGTAGGATGGACGAGGAGGAAAGGAGCTTATCACAGAGGGAGAGGCAGAGAAGAGAGAGACATAGACAGAAGAATGATGATGATGAATGGGGTGGATGAATTGATTTGAATGACTGAATGAATGAATGGATGAAACGAAACGAAACGAAATGAAATGAAATGAGAATTGATCAGGAAAGGACAGAAAACCCAGATGAAGGTATTGGTTCCCCCAGCACTGATACCAAACCTTGTATTTGAATATCCGTTTCACCCTATAGTCTGGTCCGGGTGGACACCTTCCAGACTTCACTCAACCCACAATGTCACAGCAATATTAAGGAATGGATGAGATAGATAGAATTGATGAGAACACTATTGCAGAGTGAACAGTTCTGTTTATCGTTGTTGTCAATGTATCTGGTTGTCTGCAGCAGCAAAATCTACTTGACATACATTTCCAGATCGCAGGTCAGATCAGATACCAGCAATACTCGGGCGGTACTACCAAAGTTAAAATACGCGTTCCCATACTTCCGGGGGCATAGTTGCACTTACAGGCATACAGTACCTAGGTACAGAATACACATACCTGACTGACTGAAGGGCCTCCGAGCTGTGTGCCTTCGCGCAAGGCAATCGACAGCTCGATCAATCATCAGTTCATTGATTGTCTGTCACCGACAAATGCGATCGTATCAATGACCATGATACGAATCTGAGTTAGACCACACACCGTTTGGCAGAAGGGGCCGACCGGCTGGTAGGTAACTTATGGATCAGCCGGAGCTTTAGTCGACACTTAATCTCACAAGTGTCAATTAGCATCAGCTCACTAGATCCATGATTGTACTCCGGAGTACTCGATCACTTTCAACCACACATGCCTAGATACACCCACGAACCTAGGTACCGTACAGTATGAGAGGCAAAAAGTCATGCATGTCGTCAGCGGTGTTTCTTCCGGTTCTTTTCCTGGCCAGGGAAAGTCTAATCCGCCTTATGGAAGTGTATGTATAATCGGTGTGTTCGGTATATTCGGTTACGACGTGCTGCGTACCTGTCTCTACTCTTTGATTTCTCTGCCTCTACTCCGTATGCAGCCCTGGCATTGGCTCACAGCAAAAGTCCATACAAATCCAAGAAAAAGGGGGCCCAGGGGTTGAGATTATGGTGGAGGTAGGTTGGTTTCGTTCGTTCGGGATTGGCTCTATTCTCTCTCGTCTCGTCTCGTCGCGTCTCGATTGACTGACTGAGTGACGTTTATGAAAATCGTAGTGTCAAAATGTCTTTGTTATCGAAAGCCCCCCCCCCAGGCGATAAGGCTCTTGGGATCCTGCATTGACGAACGACTCCACGTGTTTGGATCCCAGCGTTCTCCATCCACAATACCGAGAAAATGGCCGTTAAGCCTTTGGAGAAATCGACTATACTACGGCATTCTGCCTTGAGAAGAGCATTCAGAACCAGGCAGCATGGGTCCAAGCGAGTCAAGCGTGGAGCTTGCTTGACCTTCACAGCTCGAGGACTGATTCTGGATCCCCGAGCGGTGAAGGGCATTGACTAACCGGATTGGTGGTGACAGTGCAAGGACAATTGGAACTGGGGATGGAATGAGGCAGTGCTGGCGGGCTGGCGGGCTCGGACTTAGTCTCCTCGAATCCCAGCTTGCTTTTCTGGTTTGGACAAACTCCATCCATCCATCCACATCCCATATCCAGTCTTGCCGCTGCGGAGCGTCGTCAAAACAGTCGAGGTACCGGATAGAGCCGCCCAGGGTGGGAATTGGGTGAACTCAAGCCAAGGTTTTTTACGTATGCTGTTCGGTGGACTTTCCCACACTTTCTCACTTGATGAACTTGTGAGAATATAATAATTCCTGAAGTAAGGTCGATTTTTACCCTCATGTAGTGATAAGTAAGTTAGGTTGGATCTGGATATGTATCGTTTCGCATCGCCGCATGAGGAAGCTCGACTGGCCGCTGCAACCCACCAGAAGGAAGTACTGCGGGTCAGGGCCTCTCTCCTGGGAATCCCAACGGTGCGAAGGTGCGAGATAGTTAGACTACTCTCCGTAGTACTCGAGTACTCGAGTAGGTAGCACTGTGCCTTTCTTTTCACGAGTATGAGTACTCCGTACATCCCAATCATCAGTCCTCCGCTACAATACCAGAGCCAGACCATGGAGATCACCTTGCCTGCATTCCCACCCATACAGACCTAAAATCTGCAAAATAACCGATCCCAATACCCGTCACGTTTTTTTTTTTTTTTTTGCTGCACCCTACCCCTCGCAATAACGCTAAGCGTCATCCCAAACCCTTTCTCGGATTTTAATAATCTACATGACGACCTTACCAGGCTTACCTACTACGTACCTAGACTCCTAGACTGCTCTGAGCGAAAGTCGGGTACCGAATGCACCGGATGTACTATGGACTCCATGCTCCACCGTGCGTTGTGCGGACGCAGCAACAACAATTGTAAGTGGCCCTATTGGGCGTGCTCCACCCCCTAAAAGGGTCTAGCGCGCCCCATTATATGCTTTAGATACATGCACTGCCACAGTGCTGTCATTTGGCACTCCCCCCCCGTTGCACACCTTTTTTTTGCCATCCGAGGTTCTTCCCCTGCTCTGGAAGAATGATTATGGGCAGAGAGGGAGAGAGACTCAGGTCTTTGGTTTGGAAGATTGGGGTTTACCCAGAATGGAGAGGGAAAGAACCAAAAGCCCAATGCCTAAGTCCTGAGGAGGAAATTGATCTGGAAGCAGAGGGTCAGACAACGGGATGATCAATCGCGAAAGTCCTCAAGCAAGCAATGAAGGTATGGAGGGCTTCGGGAGGCGAAAGAAAAATAGAGAGAAGAAAAAAGAAAAAAAAGAAAAAACCGCAATACACAAAACACGAAAACCACTCCTGCCGGAGCGTCTGATCTTGTTTTGCTCAACTTGTGGTGGACCTTCTGACTGCCTCTTATTGCTACCCCCCTGATTTCTCCTCTTGCAAACATAATGTAGTTGGTCGGTGCTCGCTCGTGTCGTGTCTATAGTCATTATTGCCCGCCTCACATCGGATCGGATATAACAAGCGATGGGCAAAGCTTTTGAGGGCTGAACGGGGGACACACAAATTTGGAATGACAAGGCAACTCACATAGTACGACACATGACTTATGAGTATGCTCCTTACTAGGGATACACCTACTCATGGACTGCCATGGAAGAGGGGTATTGGCCTGAACTTGCGTTGTTTTCCGATATCGAAAATCCGAACAATGAGGCTGCGCTTCAATACCAGCCCACTACCTGATCATCTTGGGAAAGAGGTCTTACGCGCCGCGTCAATCAACAGGTCGTAGGTACGCAGTGGCAGATTAGACAGGGCGGGCTGGTTCGATCACACAGTGGCCCGCTTTGTGTTAGCGAGAGACAACGAGGGAGATCACATCCAAAGTGTACCGTAGAAGAGGGTTTTGCCATCAGAGTTGCGGAAACAGGATCTTCGGAACCTGGCGCATCATTGGCCATCCGCGAGGACAGCCAAAAGAATAAACGGACGGATGACCTGGCACATCACCAGTACAGTCTGCGATCCTTGTTCAATTAGCTGAACGTTTCACCCTTACCAATATCATTCTATGCCCCGTGTCTATATATAGGCGACCGGACCTCGTCAGCAAGTCATCTGGTCAGCTTATATGGAAGTCGTGCACGGACGGAGAGACCTGCTTCTCCATACTGACAGGCCCAGGAGGAGATTGGACAGGAAGACCACGACGAGGCCGGGGTGGGACACAAAACCCACGACCTGATCATGGCCATGTGTGTAGGCCAGAAGAAGTAAATAATATAAGGTTTTAGATTGAAAGGGTAAACCCCGAGCTGAAAAGAACAAACAAAAAAAAGCGCCGTCAGCCTTAAGCCTTAAGGGGCTGCAGACTACTGCTAAATCCAGTCGTGCACAGGCCGGGGTGCTCAATCAGGGAGTGCCATGTATCAAAGGGCAGGCTTTATTTCGGTCCTTTGCGTAGGGCAATGCAACAACGGAAGGATGTTAAGAGCGTCGAATCTCGGTCAAGCAGAACTGAGACGTTACACAATGCGGGTAGTTACGCCATCCTCAATCAGCGGGTTGGATTATAGTCAAGAAAAAGTAGAAAGGCAATACGCATGTGCATGGTACTAGCCATAGTTGGTTGATCTCTCGTCTCGGAGGAAAGAAAAAGCGCTAGTAGTACGGAGTGATGCTCTGCATGAAGAACAAACACTAGATTCCCATAAAGCGTGCTGCAACTGCTGCCGTTTGATGCTGCATATTTAGTCGCTTTCAATCAGATCATGAGGCCCAGAAGGCGCGTGTAGATCATTTAGCTGGTTTGGTTACACGAGAATCGTCGATAATAGCGATGCAGCCTCAGCAGTAAGCCGACCTAAGGCAGTATTGCACGCCCAAGATCCTGCTATATGCTGGGTAATGTACATAGGATGACATCGCCTTGATTGGCTGGGATCGTTAAGCGACATTAAGCATTATTTACCTCGGAATAGTGGCCTGGAGGTGCAGAGACCAAGAAGCCTGGCTCCCTCTTGGCCCTGTCAAGATGATCAATCTCCAAGACTTGGATGATGCTTGGGTGGGAGAACGAAGTTGTCCCAGGATGTTTAGCTTCGCTTGGAACAAGGGAACCCAATCTTTCATGCCTGCCTCTTGCATGTCCATGCTGAATTGACATGTCCCGGTGTCCCTCATGATTGGCATCATGACCTCCCGCCTCCGAAGGACGAAGAACAAATTCACTGATTCCAATTCCTGCTTTGGAGGCCTTGGCGGTGGTTTGCGGGCCAATCAGTCTTACGAGTGATTCACGATGACAGAGATAGCGGGATGGCCTCTGCAAGCCATGAGTGGATTGGCTGATACGATGATGCCGATGATGCATCTGATATGCTGAGGGAGAGGGTCTCGAGCGAGTTCGACATTTTCTTGTTGGGTGTCTCGGAGTACTACGGAGTATCTCCTTCATATATCAATCAATAATGCCTTGAGTGCTGCTGTCGAAAGTTGGGACTGTAGCCCGGCCTTGGCATTGCCGCCGACCATGCTCGCACTGCGGCGGATATGGAAGGGTTTCCCCGGCGCAGGGATGGGTAGGCTGAACCAGGATTTCTGTACATTGTCACACATAGTGAGAAGAGGGAGCTGAGAGAGAGAGAGAGAGAGAGAGAGAGAGAGAGAGAGAGAGATTGGAATGATATTCAAATTGATAGGAGGAGACGGTGGGTTGTGTAAATTGTGTAAATTATCCGCGGCGATGGCCAGATCAGGATCAAGGATCATATCCAGAAGTTCTTGGCTTCCATGGAGTGGATTGGAAAGTGGACCGACCGGCATTGGTGGGGACAGGCGAGGGTTGGTTCGTGCCTCAGGTTCAATTCCCCGTTCCCGCTCCCCCCCGGCTACCCTTGCCCTTGCCCTATACCCTAGCCCCATATGACTCTGACCGCTTTCCGGATCCTGAGATTCTGCCCTCAAGACCCCTCTCGCCCTCTCGCCGCCTGTAGCATGGCATCGACACGGCCCGACGCTTAGCATCATATCATTTTTCAGCTTCTCACTTATTGATTTGTGATAGTACTTCCTATATTAAACATTGTATAGGTAGTCTACATCTTCTTCACTATGGCTATGAACAAGATACCTGGCCACAATATCTATGTTGGGGGGTGAGTTTCCTTCTCTCAGCTATCTACTCTCATTTCCAGTTGCCTCTCTACCTTCCTTTTTCGACACGCCACTAGAGAATTAGCTTCTGGAGTCAACTCAAGGGAAAGGAACGATTATTAACCAACTCTGTAGGGTCCTCTCACTCAAGAACAATGCGGCTTTGACTCGAGCAAATATCACGCACATTGTTTCTGTGCTACGACTCCAGCAAGCAGATGAACTTCTGGCGCCTTATCAACGTCATTGCATAGAAGTTGACGATGTCGATGATGAAAACCTGCTGGAGCATTTTCCCGCCGCCGTCAAGTTCATTCAGTCGGGACTGGACAGTGGCGGCGCGGTGCTTGTGCATTGGTAAGTCATTGTGATTGCAAACCCCCACGATGAACCAGTTACTACCTTCGGATACTCACTGCTCTTTAGTGCAATGGGCAAATCCCGTTCTGCAACTGTGTGCATTGCCTACATGCTTCATCAGCAGCGTAGTGCGCTGACTCCGCAATCAGCACTTGCCATCATCAGGGAGAGCCGGCCTCTCTGTGAACCCAACGATGGCTTCATGGAACAGCTTTCGCTCTACCATCAGATGGGCTGTCCCGAGGATGTCACGAGCCATCCTCTGTATAGCAGATGGCTTTACCGCCGAGAAGTCGAAGAAAGTGTCGCCTGCGGGCGGGCACCTGAAATGAATAATGTCCTATTCGAGGACGAACAACCGCACAGGCCGCAGGAATCTACAGGTCGTACGACGGAGATCAAGTGTCGTAAATGCCGGTCGGTTATCCTTATCTTCCGTCTACTTGCCTTTGTGACTTTCTTTAAGCTATGGTTCTTGATTTCGAAACCTTACTGACTTCATATTCAGACGCAAATTGGCAACCACGCCGTTTGTTGTTCCTCATGGACCCCAGAAACCGGGCGCTTCGCTCGCGAATACCGAGTGTGCACATGTTTTCCTTCATCCATTGACCTGGATGCGTCCAAGTCTCTTTCCAGAAAGCGAGTCGGGTGATTCGGGTGCACCGCTAGGTTCGCCGTCAGCAGACGCTCCGTTATCTGGTCGTTTGACCTGTCCCAACACCTCTTGCGGCGCCAACATTGGAAAATTTGCCTGGCAGGGTATGCGATGTAGCTGCAGTGAATGGGTGGTGCCCGCCATCGGCCTGGCGAAAGCTCGAGTAGACATCTCCGAGCAAGTGAATACGATCCGGGGCCCAGCCCAGGCAGCCTTTGGCATTCGCCTGCCGCCTGGAATGAGACCTAGTCCCACTGACGAGACCAATGGGCGGGGCAACCTCTAAGCTTTCCAGCAAGAATCTACAAGGCAGCAATCAGGCTTCAATAGAACCGAATCGAGTATTGCTGACATGCCAAGGGGCCATCGCAGCCACTTGGTGGACACTTTCGACCTCGCATGGGGAGGTAGTAAGGTCGACCGAAGTTGAGTCGCAAGCAGCAAAGCCACATCGAGTTTAGTTCATCAAAGGATGTCCGAGAGTCCCTGCGGGTGCTTGCGTGGCTAGTTGAAAGGCAGAACAAAAGACAAAGCAAACGTGGCAAGCAGACAGTCCCTTGCTGCGATTCGCGGGTTAAAAGGTGGCATTTAGGCTTTAGTCGCGGTCAAAACCGCGGGCCAGGAAAGAAAAAAGGGAAGGGACATGCGCAGGTTACGCACACGCATACGATATGATAGACCTAAGTCTAGGCTCGATTGATACTGGTGCCGAAAGGTCGCGAGTTTAAAGAAGGAAAGGACCCTGGATGTCGATCCTTTAGCGGGGAGAGGGGAGACAGTTGTCCTAGCGCCGAGATGACCTCACCTTCTCTAGCTTTTTATCTACCAGCCAACCACAGTTATGTATGCAATCGATGCGGCGCCTAAGCCCTTCAACCGTGTTAATCTGATAACGTCCGATCGTCGAGCAATCAATCGAAACCCGCGCAACGCGATGACCTCAAATCCTCCATGTAACCAAGGAGAGGCATATGGTGACCGAGTCAGGGCTTGAACCCCACATCCTGCGACAAAAAACCCCACGAGGCTGTTCTCCCACTCTTCTAACCCTCATTAAGGCGAGCCCCACAAAGTCAAGGGCCCTCCACTTCCCAGCGGACAGCCACCAATGATCTGCAGCCAGTGGTCGATCGGGGAGAAACAAAGCACCAGGCAAGAGTTGTAGTACGGAGTAGAGTTGCACAGGTTCCTGGCGCTTATGGGCTGACTAATCGACCGCAGGGAGCCCTAGTCGATGAAGTTGCTACATGAACTATGACTCGCTATGCTTCCACAATGCGGGAAAGAAGCGACCATGCTGTGCTGTACCAAGAAGACCAAAAGATTATTACATTTGGGGAGGGAAAGGGCAAGGGGAAGGGGAAGGGGGTTGGTCGGAACCATCAGGTTGAGAGTTGAGAGGGGTGAGGCCTGGTAAGGTCTAGGCTGGATCACTAGCTCCGGCACGGGGGCTGTGCAAAAGCTCTCTTACGCAACTGGGGCACGCTAGCCATGGTTGCGGGTGCCTTTTTTCTTTTCTTCTTTTTTCTTTTCTATTTTCCTTCGAGATTTGCCAGGTTTTCTACGCGGTAACGTACGAGCTGGTATGTAAGGTATGTTACGACATATGTGTATTTTTCACTTTGCTCAACATCACCACTACTACGACATCCCACAGCTCTTCCCTTTTCTGACGGCGTAGGGCAGACCGCCGCCCTATCTGGTCGACGTGTGGGTGGCAAGGGAGAAAAAAAAACGTGGGAGACAGAATGTCATAGAAGGTCCAGAACATTTTGTTCTTAATCCAAGTAGACTCAACTCCATCACTTTAAAGCTCTTCTACTGTGTACGGAGAATATACGTATACAGTTACTCCCATCAAATATGTACGGAGTAAGTGTGTCTGTGCATCGGTATCCGCCTGGCTGGATCTCCAGAGTACTACTCCGTCCTCCGTACAGGAACCAGGCAGATACTTTATCCAGCCTGTGTACTCTGTACATACCTACACCAGGATCACCGAAGCTACTAGTTGTACCGCTTGATATGCAATGCATGATCAAGACTCGAGGATCTGGTTAGTCAGTCATTCAGGAACCAACGGTTGCGGCCCTGAGCCCTCCCTCCTCTCTTTTCCTTCAACATTTCCCGCCTAGAATACGCACCGTCTTTGATATCGCATCGAGAATCCTCGTCTCCTTTTGCTATAGACATCTTAGACGCAATAGCATTTGACAGACCATGGCATACACCGTGGACACCACCGATCCAGGCGGTTTTCGGAAGGAAAGAAAGTTCGATAGTCAGAAGAGGTGGAGGATGATGTCAGCGCCCCGTTTCCTTAGCCCATTTGATAGTTCAGTGTCTATACAATAGAATTGATGTATTGTATTAGAGTGTGACAAGAGTGAAGCAGCAGTTTTGATCCGAAAACACGGAACCATATCGAGCTTGCATGAATATCAGCACAGAAGGCACTGGAAACATTGATAGCCACTGCGACTGCTGGCTAAGGTAGTGAGTCTTTGATTCCCTCAAGGTCCTTGGGGATGTACTGTACTTTGAATGGATTAAGGATCTATTCCCCATTCAGACTTGTCTGTAACGGGCCCGGACTCGGGAGCCATTGCCCGTCCGTCCACTTTAACCCCATCTTTGAAGTACCTAGCCGTACTCTAATCTGTTCTTCGCTTCTAGTGTATATGTACATGACATTGTTGATGTATAGGTGTAGAATGATGTCATCACCGAGAACAGGCAACCACAGTCATCGTTGCTGAATCTCCATCAAACCCCCCCCCCCCCCCCCTCTTTGACTGTGTCCCATAAAGCATAGGTTGGAAGTGAAGAAAAGATGCAGGAGAAAGCGAGCGGACTCCGCAGCACTAAACCCAACCGGCGACTAGAGCGAGGAAACTAAGCAGCACTGCCTCACAGGGAGACCCACTGCTTTGCTTGACAAAATCTCTTGGCTTTTTTTCTTTGCCTGCCCACTTTCATCCTGACAGACAGACAGACAGACGGACGGATATGACTTTATCTCCGGGTTAAGTGGTCTTTGCTTCCTTTGGGGATTGGATCAAACAATCTCGTCTTACGACTTCTTGGGGCGCTATGAACGGTGGGACGGAGTCTCATAATTTCCTCTCTTACATTAGTCTCCGCAGCGTGTGTGGGCTAGGCCGTTGGTCACAGAGACGATGAGAGGGAGGGGAGAGGGGAGGGGCTCCGGGCGGATTGAATTCGTTCTCTATGCAAATATCATCACCTACCAACCCTGGATAGGGGATGATTGACGACGCTTGGTGGAAAAGGATCCGATGATTGGGAAGTCTGCACATGCGAGAGAGAATTGTTAGATTAACATGAGGGCATTTTTGTGAACGCCGTAGATTAATTGCCACTGGATGGGGCCAGTTCCCCGCTCTTTCAGTCTCTGCTACCGGGAAGTCCTGTCGCATCCATTGGATCAGAGGAGGTTGCACTCCATTGTACTGTACTTCTATCGGTGATTCGGTACTAGTAAGGTACAAGGGGATGTGTGTGACGCTGTGTGTAAGGCTGGCTGGTGGTGTGTTGGGTAGGAAATGCCGACGGGGGCACGGCGGCCGTTCCCTGTCTTATGCCTTATGCCTTATGGAAGGATGGGCTTTCTATTTCTAGAAGCCGCCTAAGGCTGAGTTGTGGCCATGTTGTCTTGTAGCTACTTCGTAGCTCAATCCAAGCTTCTTGCGACAGGTTGCGTTGTATATGCAGGCCAGATGCATCGCATGTGAGGTTAATTACCGTATCTGTCTTGACTTGTTCATGAGGCAGATCGAGAGCAAGGACCCGCTTCCCATCCTTTGCACTCGTGACAAAGAGTGATCTGGTGGTCTCGTTGGAAATCTGACTGGACGAGTTGATGGAGGACATGAGCCCAGGGCTGTGCTATCCGCGGATTTTGTCTTGCTTCCTAACGAATGTCTTGAATGATGACCGAGACCTGCATCGAAAACTCCCTTCATGAACTGGGCAATGAACCCCTGGCCTCTGGCGCCAGGACCCTAGAGGTCTCACTTTAAGAGACGTATTCGTACGAATACGAAGCTGTCTTAGGCAATGCGCAAGAGCCCAGGCTATGCTGGTCACACATCATGATAAGACACGCAACAGTAAGCACCGCGCGGCCAGGCTCACTAGAATGAGTCGTGCGCACACTTTGTTTGTCATGAACCTTCTCAAGGAACATCAACCCAGTCCCAAGGACAGGTGCACGTTTACTCAACACAAACTCAGATACCACCGGACGGGACAGATGGAAAGAACGAGGGGTCCTGCAGCCGTTGCCGGTTGCGCCTCGCGACTTCAGCGTTGCGCACTCTGTCAATCCGCATCTGGTAGAAGTTCCTGCCCCACCATTCTGATCAGTATCAAGGCACCTGAACAGGGAACAGGAAACGAAGATCCGTACTTATGCAGAGCAAAGATCCGCGGCGAATCATCCGTGCTCGGCGTTGTGGTATCCCCGGATTTTTTGATCGCATCAATCTGCAGCGCATTTCCAATCAGCCAGACTGCCCAGCCTCCCCAGTTGCCCATTATCCTTTTCCTCCATCTCACACTTTGGAGAGTCGAGAAACCTACCTTGTCATCGCGCTCATTCTCTGCGGTCTTATCGTCCTTGTCCTCTCCGTCCTTGTCTTTCTCCTTCTCCTTTTCTTTATCCTTGTCTTTGTCCCCACTCTTCTTCGCTTTCCTAGCCTGCCGCTCCTCGTACTCCTTCTTCACCTTCTCGATCTCTTTGGCCATAGCATCGCGCTTCGCTTTCGCTTCAACCTCGGCCGCATCGATGATAGGGGAGCAGAAGTTTCGATCGGTGAGGTGGGAGGGGCAGATGTAGAAGAAATCCTGCGAGGGAAGTCGTTCAGTCGTTAGCACAGCGGCGAGAGACCCATGCGTGAGTTCATCAAATTATCATTGTAGACATCCGGGAATGGCTTACCTTGTTATCGGGAGTGATGAGGACCGAGGTCGAGGGTTTGTAGCAGATGTAGCATGATTTAGCAGAGGTGTCGGCTACGCGACGGAGGTGATAGGTATTTTGAAATGGCGAGGCCATTGTTCTTGTGAAAATTGGGAAAGACACAGAGCAAAAAGCGGAAGGTCTAAGGAGTTCTGCTGCTGACTGCGTCCTGGACACGCTGGGGTAGATGGAAATCCAAAAGTTGGAGCTTTGCGCGGGGAAAGGGACAAGTGAAATAGTTTGGGTGCGGAGAAAATAGTCCACTCTTGGTGATGTCATGTGACAAAGTATACAGAACATGTTACCCTCTCGAATTCTGGAATACAGTGATCCACTGATAACTACCTGCCCAACTAACGCCAGAGCAATGCATACATAACAGTCAGGACTGACTCTAGGTCTAAGCCTTAACTTTTCAAACAAAACAATAGCCCTTTTTTGGCATATTCGACAAAGGGTAGAAAAAGGAAACGGCCAGGAAGCTCATCTTCTGAAATCAGATGAGTCAAAAACAGGAGAACCAAGTTTACCTTGGATATTCATCACAACACAGTATCTTCCATCATTGAAGACCCGCAGGTGGAAAACTGTTTGCGAAAGAAATGGTATTTTACAGACCCGCATTAACCACGCCAGCGGCCTCCTCGGCTAGCCGGAGGTCCCTAGCATCTAAGTCCATCACGGTGAAATATTTGTTGAATGCGGATAGGATGTCTTTGAGAGAGTGTTTGAGCGTCGTCAGGACTAGATCCACATCAGGAACCCGACGAGCCTGGGCCTGCGCCTCCGGATTGCTGGAAGGTGGGAAATCGACGTCCGTCCAGTGCGCGTCCAGACCGCCGTTGATGAACGGCTCTAGGGTTTGGATGGTTTCGGTGAACAGACGGATGAGGGCAGGAACATCGGCTTGGACTTTACCGTAGGAATCCTCTTCGAGACTCTTGATGGAGAGGCCAGTAATAGAGTCGATGGAGTGAACAATGGAGCATATATTGGCGTGGGGTGTGCCAAGGACGATACCGGACAAGCGACGGGCGTAAGTGTGTTGGAAATGGCGGCCGATTGGAGTGCGAAGGGCTTGTGCCATGAGAGGGTGCAGGTCTTCGGGCTTGCACGTGATCAAGGGACCGGTGAGGCGCTCGACGAGTTCCTTGTAAGTAGCAAGGAGCTTCTGCTTCTGTTCGGGACTGAGCACGGCAGATAATGCCCGGTCCAGGACATCAACAGCCTTGGCACGGGCGGTAGGAGTCCAGTCGGGGTTGTTTCCGAATGATTTGATGGTCTCATTCCAAGCCTCCTGGTGAGAAGCGGTCTTGGGGACGGGGGCGAAGATGTCAACCTCATTTGGCGCCTTTAGCGGGTCTGTGAGTCGAGGGAGAGTGCGAAGGACGAGCTCATCCTTTGGAGGGCCAGTGTCGATACCGGAATGTGCCTTTTTCTGTTCCCTTGTCTCTTGATATTCCTTCTCATCGAAATTTGGTTTGACTCGGGTCGCGACACCCTTGACCACTTCTGTGGTCGCGGCGAAAATCTGAGACCAGGCTGCCCCTTCTTCGCGGTCGATATCATTAAAGACCGCTTTGCGACGATCAGGAAACTGCTGGCTGATCAAAAGTAGTTCCCAGAATGCAAAGGCTCGAACCGTCTCCTTCTTCGCTTTGAGGCCGGTAAGCAAGCTGCCGTTGGGGTCTTTAGCATCGGCTGTCAAAGGCTGGCCGCGCTTGAGGGGCTCTTTGCTCAAAAATATGGAAAAGAAAAGGTTGGCGCTCTGCCAACAAAGCATCAGAAGCGCTCCTGAGACCATTGACCTGAAGATGATTCCCGGTGTGATTGGTGGAAGAAAGCCCGGCGGATGAGCGGCGGACCTGGGGATATCCCAGAAGAGTTTGGCAAAATACAAAGCGGTACTCCACGCATAACGACGGAGAAGAATGGAGTACGCCAGAGGGCAAGCCAAAGCAACGAACAAACTCCTCTTGATTCCGCCAACAATGGTCGGCAGGAATTCAGCCTGGATGCGTTTGGCAGTGGACTGAACTGCACCTTTGTCCTTCTCAGACCGTTTGGCGACCGGGACAGGAACTCGGTCATAATCATCGTACAGGTGAAAAAGCGACTGTATGACTGCTAGCACGAGGTGATAGGTGTAAAGGTATATAGCCCGCTCGTTGAGACTTGCGCGTTCATGAGGTCTGGCATCATATTTTTTCTTAGCTGAGGTTCCACCACGCTCAAAGTAATTCAGCCTTGGGTGAGCACATACCTGGCTCGGTTCACCCATTCCAAGTGCACACTAAGCGGCGAAGACCATCTGTAGATCTCGTTGAACCACCAGGCTGAGAACATGTACCATCCGAAGGTCTGGAAAGCATCGAACGGAATAAGTTGCTTGAGAGTACTTATTGACGAGGCTGTCGTCCTTGCGCCAAGGTGCATCTGACCAACACGCAGGACAAAGATGACAAGGCTGCAGAGAGAGAGTAGAACTGTTCGAATTCCACATGCTCCAATTGGAAACCATGACCAGAAGACTAGGAGGATGTCGCAAGTGGTTAGCGATCGCCGTGAGTACGTCTTGCGAGCCTCATCCAGCTTGGTTGTACTTACATGATGATTTCTCACCAAGGGCAAATGCAACAATGTAGCAGACTAACAGCGCCAGTGCAGAAGCATGCACAAATCTTCTGTGCAGGGCCGAGGTCAATATGCGCCGATAAGGGCGAGGCCGTGCAGCAGCCATGATGAGGGTTGGGATCTAAAGTGTGATGGGATGATCTCTAGGCAGAGAAGGATGAATCAAGTTCACCGCATGATCAGAGTAGCTGCAGAATGGGTAGCAAGTACGCCTTGGAATAATTGAAGCTCCAAGCGTATTGAATTGGAGCTCAGTCGAGGGAAAGCGGGCAGCGGGATGCGACGACAAAATGAAGCTTTTCGAACAAAGCACCAAAACACACCAGCCACATCCGTCGTATCAGGTGACCGGGCAACACATCGAGTCCGTGCGTCAGGTGATGGCGGCCTGCAAAGCCGGGTGTCCATTGCAAAACCAGGCAACAACGCCATCGGGCCCGCTTCCCCCCTGCTACCGACGTATGCCCTGCGCTGTACGGAGCCTAGACTAGTGTGCTCACTACTGTACATGTGCCCGCTTGCATCAGCCCGGAGTCAAATTGATCTCTACCACTACTACTACTATTACTACTACTACTACTACTACCCAGTAACTTCTCAGTCCTTCCAGCTTCCAACTGTCTACCCACCTAGGGACACTTTCTCCGCCCAGTCATGTCTTTCGATCGCTTAGATTCACTAGAGTCGCAGCCTACGACTCTGCGCCGCGCAGATGATCCACACTATCGTGATGACCCTGAGTTTGACCGCTTGACCGAGAGTCTCTCCAACCGCCTCTTTACCCTCACTTCGAACATCACTCGCTTATCAGACCAGATCGCTCTTCTGGGTACGCGTCGAGACACTGAGCGCGTGCGTGAACGGGTTCATAACCTACTGGAGCAGACTCGCTTGGGTTTCAAGGATGTAGGGGAGGGGATCAAGAAAGTAACTACGTGGGAAGACGTCAATGTATGTTGAGTTCCATCTCGCGGTCCGCGCTATCCCTGGGCTCGGTCTCAACGTGAGTGTCGCTGACATGTATCCACTAGCCGTCTCAAAAATGGACTCAGCAGAAGCTCTCTTCCGAATTTCGAGCTACATTGGAGGAATTCCAAACCGTCCAGCGTCGTGCCCTGGAGAAACAGCGAGCGTCTGCAGTGGCTGCTCGCACAGCCGTGGAAGACGGTGAGCATGCGGCCGAAGATGGCTTCCAGCAGCAGCAAGAGCAGCTTCTTGAACAACAACCTCGACTGGCGAACCAAGACGAAGTGGACTTCCAGGAGTCTCTGATCATCGAGCGGGAGGCGGAGATCCGCAATATCGAGCAGAGCGTTGGCGAACTTAACGAGCTCTTCCGCGATGTGGCTCACATCGTCCATGAGCAAGGAGGTCAGCTCGATATCATCAGTGAGAATGTTGAAAGAGTCGGAGACGACACTCGCGGTGCCAACGTTGAGCTGCGAAGCGCAAGCAGGTACCAGAAGAATGCGCGGAACAAGGCCTGCTGTCTTCTGGTCATCCTGGCCGTGATCTTGCTGATCATTGTCCTTGCCGTGGTGCTGGGTTGAGTTTCGCCGGCTCCCGCCCGCTCACTTATAGTCTGCAACATCGCTGGTTGATCCAGGGTGGGTCGCGGCGTTCCCTCTCTTTTGATGATATCCTTCCCATGTACTTTTCGTTTGTATGCGTATGTTTGCACTCATTTTGCAGGCGCTTTGTCGTCTCCACTCATGACTCTCTTAATGAATGACCGGCGTATATGGAGCAGAGGATGTTTATCTATCTACAACGTTCGTACTGTCTTTCTATGCTTGATATCATACATAGCTTCTGTTATACATGGATCATACACTGAGATGAATTTACCCAAGAGACCCGAAACTCCTTGTGTTCGCCTGTACACGTGCACCGTAAATCAATAATGGAAACTGCGTTGGACTGCCTACAGTCCCGCGAACTTGCTAAACCGCATACGGCAGCCCTCCCAGGTGTTCATCTTAGGCCTGACGTCCAAGTAGAAGCTCAATTTGCCCGGACCAGCATTGGCGGCCAAACCAGCGCCGGTGGCCCCTCCCGATGTCTTGCCTTGGTAGAAGTCGATAACGTACTCAACTCTTTCACCACCACACCTTTCCACAACCCAATCGTGTCGGTCAAATGGTAGCTGGTAGCCCATGAGGTTGTTGATTCGCGCCCGAGGGCTCAGGAATTGAGGGTCGACGCCCAGGCCGCGGAATGAGTAGAGCTTGGGGCCTCCACATTTCTTGCTGCCGGGGTCACTGCTGGGAGCTCGACTCTCCCATTCCAGAATCTGCTGCCATGCGCGCTCGTTGACGGCGTTATGAATGGGGATAATGGACGCGACAGTGGTGGCCAGTTCAGAAGCCGATTCTGTGGAAGAAGGTGTGTTGCCCTTGCGCATCAGCGCCTCGAAGAACTGTCGCTCGGACGGATAGATCCAATTGCCAGTGTTGGGGTCGTGGCCTGTCTCAGCCTCGTCGTTCGATGGCGCGCCGTGCGATGCGCTCGGGGAAGAGTATGGTGATGGCGGAGCGTTGGGTGATGCGGGAGATGACGGCTGGGATTGGGGTTCGATGGCGCGTGGGATGCTGCTTACTTCACGATCGGTGGAGAGTGGACGTTGCATCTTCGCCTTCGATTGACTGTCTTCTGAAGGCGGCATTGGGTGAGGAGGAGGGGCAGCTCCCCCGGATGCTTTGTGTTGTTGTAGCCATGCCTCGCGAGTTTTGTGATCAACAGGGCATACTCCGGCTGCCGTGGCAGGCTCGGGGGAGGGCGTACTGGCACCAGCACCCATGAGTATAAGGTAAGGTATCTATATAGTAAGATGGGATAAATGGAGATCAAGATCTGAAAGGGTCGGTGATGGGATTTCACCGTGCTGAAAGCGTCTGGCGAATGAGAAGTATGAAGATACAAATCAAGGACTGGAATGAACTTCAGTTCGGGTAGCGGACAACGCCGAACAGGCGGAGAAAAAATGGCCGCTCACCGCCTTGAGTCCCGGGTCATCAAAACAACCCCTCTCTTTGCCCAACTGGGAAATCCATTTATTCCCCTCCCCTCCCCTCCCTCATTGGGCTGGCCATCTCTTTCTTCACCAAAATTCGTCTGCTGCTTCTACGCTGCCAACCAAACCTCCATTCACACAACTTGCTGAAGATCAATCATGGCTGCTTCCGCTGATAGTCCCGTCTACCGGGCCACCACGACGGCCCCCGTCAACATCGCTGTCATCAAGTATGTTGCTTCTATGCGTCCCAACCCCTATTGCGCGGTCCCTCACGAACCACATCGAGGAAACCCGGAAAATTGACAAGAACTCTACCAGATACTGGGGCAAGCGTGATGCCGTTCTCAACTTGCCTACCAACTCCTCTCTCTCCGTCACCCTCTCCCAACGCTCATTGCGCACCCTTACCACCGCCTCCTGCTCGGCCATCTACCCCGCCCAAGACGAGCTGATCCTCAACGGCAAGCCCCAGGATATCCAGTCATCCAAGCGTACCCTTGCCTGTCTCTCCAGCCTGCGCGCTCACCGCAAGGAGGTCGAAGCTGCCGACTCCTCTCTTCCGAAGCTCTCTGCCCTCCCTCTCCGCATCGTCTCCGAGAACAACTTCCCCACCGCTGCCGGACTCGCCAGCTCGGCTGCTGGGTTCGCCGCCCTTGTCCGCGCCGTGGCCGACCTCTACCAGCTCCCACAATCTCCCCGGGACCTCAGTCGCATTGCCCGCCAGGGCTCCGGCTCCGCCTGTCGATCGCTGATGGGCGGCTACGTCGCCTGGCGCGCCGGCACCCTCGAGGATGGCAGCGACAGTCTGGCGGAGGAAGTCGCGCCCGCCGCTCACTGGCCCGAGATGCGCGCCATCGTGCTTGTCGTCAGCGCCGAGAAGAAGGATGTCCCCAGCACCGAGGGGATGCAGACGACCGTCGCGACGTCGAACCTGTTCGCTACGCGGGCGAACACCGTCGTCCCCGAGCGTATGGCGGCGATCGAGACCGCCATTCAGAACCGGGACTTCCCCGCCTTTGCCGAGATCACCATGCGGGACTCCAACGGGTTCCACGCCACTTGCCTGGACTCCTGGCCTCCGATCTTCTACATGAACGACGTCTCGCGGGCCGCTGTGCGTCTCGTCCACGACATCAACCGGGCCGTCGGCCGCACGGTCTGTGCCTACACCTTCGATGCGGGCCCGAACGCTGTTATCTACTACCTCGAGAAGGAGACCGAGCTCGTGGCTGGTACGATCAAGGCCATTCTCGGTACCAAGGCCGATGGCTGGGAAGGCCCCTTCTACGAGCCCATGAAGGATCTCAGCGCCCCCGGTGTTGCCCTGGACAAGGTGGACTCCAGGGCCGTGGAAGTGCTCGAGGACGGCGTCAGCCGCGTCATCCTTACCGGCGTCGGCGAGGGGCCCGTCAGCGTGACCGATCACCTGGTCAGCGAGAAGGGCGATGTGCTCTCTCACTAAGGCGCTCTCAAGCCAAAATTGAAGCTCCGCGGGCATCAACTTATTCACACCGCGGATTGCCTTGAGATGAAAAGATACCCAGACCGGTCCCTCCTTTGTTTGTTTCTAGTGGAGGGATTGAATTCTATATCCCGAGAGCATATATTCTCGTTTATCGTACGAAGCATATTACAACATTAATAATCATTTAACATTTGAAATTGAATGGCTCACCAACGGCCCAAAGAATCTATGCTTTTTTGTAACCTTTTCCAAATCCATAGCCAGGCAAGAAAGAAATAAAGACAGCCAGCCAGCTAAACAGGTTTCCGATTGACATGCCTGACCAAGGAGGTTCGTTCTAGTTCAGCAAAGCCGACAACTTCAGCTCCTTGACAGCAGGCACCTCCTTACCCTTGCCCACATTGGCAGTGGCCGTCACGCTGTCCCAGAAGACGCTCTGCCCGCCGCCGCCCATCCCCAAGTGTTCCTCGCCGGTACCAAACCCGCCGACATCCGCGTTCTCGAGCTCCCCCTCATTTGCCACCACCCCCTTGGACCCGTCATTCGCCGCCACCAAAGCGCCAAACACCTCCTCGCGGCTTTCCGTGCACAGCTTCAGCACCTCCTGCATGGCCTTCTCGATGGCCGCGGCGCGCTCGCGCATGGCGCGGCGCAGCAGCGCATCGACGAGCGCCTCGACCTCGCCGACGGTCGCGTTGGCGCGCTCCAGGAGCCGCCGCACGCTGTTGACGAGGTACTCCTCCTCGTAGACGGTGCCCTTCTTGCCGCGGGCGCGCTTGCGCTCCTCCTTGCGCCGGGTCTTGGACGTGTGGCGCGACGAGGTCGTCTTGCCGGTCTTGCCCGTGTTGCCCGTGTAGCGGGTGAACATGGAGCGGCCGGCCAGCGTGGATGCGTCCGTCGGCGCCAGGGAGACGTTGTCGGGGATGTCGACATTCCCATCCCCGCCGGCGCCGCCCAGGGTGGGGTCGCCGCCGAAGTAGGCCAGCGGGTCCGTGGCGCGGCGGACGCGCAGTTCGCGGATCCGGGGCACCTGCGCGTTGAGCTGGGAGCGGAAGTCGGCCAGCAGGTCGGTCATGGCGCCCATGGCGTCCGAGAGTCCGCCGTCGACGATCTCCGGGATCAGAGCCTGCTGGCCGTGCAAGGCCAGAAGGCGCGTCGCCTCGGAGAATTTGGACGCGCGGCAGAGGAGGCGCGCCGCCGTGGGGATGTCGCGGAGGTGGTCGGCGTGGATCTGCGCCGCGGCTACGTAGTCCTTCGTCTCTTCGGTGAGGGTGGCGGCCAGGGTGCTGGCGTGCGTGGCGAGTTCCTCGGCGGGGAGGGGGACCATCGTGGCGCAGTAGATGGACTCGCGCCAGAGGTGTGCCAGGTGGTAGCATTTGTATGCGTCGGTATAGAGGGAGAGGGATTCGTAGGCTGGTGAGGGGGGTTCGGTTAATTCAGGGAAAGCGTCCGAGATTGTGCGGGGTTTGATTCACGTACCAATTCCTGCTTCCTTGTACTTGGATTGATCGAACAGGTAGTCAGCGTAGAGGTGACTCATGTCACGTAGTTGCTCGGCTTGGTATCTGTACAGATCGATGGCATCCTTATAGAGCGTGTGCTTGATGGCGTAGGCACGGAGCTCATCATGAGCGTTCAGGGCATGGAGGTGTTTCAGGGCTTTAGAAGTGCGTCCTAGGTAATTATCGATCTCGAATTGGCGTCGGAGTTCCGGCATCTGTTGCAGCTTTCTCAGGAATGGAAGATACTCGCGGGGGTCCTGCGTGCTGTTAGCTCATATCGTCGTGAAGGGAATCCGAGGCACCGACTCTCTGAGCTTGTTGAGCAACAAGTAGCGTGAGTTCGAGGTCATAGAGACCCAGTGCATTGTCGTACAGACGGTTGGCATCTGTCAAGAAGCACATATGCTCTACTGCGTCATCGGCTTGTTCGGAGCTTTCCTCTGTCATGTAGTCAGTATTTGCTCCCAAACGTGAGAAGAACAGTGTCATACCTCTCAACCGTGCAACCAGCTGAAGACCGGCCTCAAGGTCAGGCGGGGACTTGCAGACATGAGCAGTGATCAAATTGTGCAGGTTGGTATCCAATCGCTTCTCAAGAGTAGTCAGGAAAGCATCGCAGATCCGGTTAACCTTACTGCTCTTGCTCGACGGAGCGGATAGAGCAGCGAGGGCATGATCTTCGGTCTTCTTCTTTAGCGTGTCTTTGTACAGTGTCTGCGACACATCCTCCTCACTAGACGCAATTGTCAATCGTATGCTTCGCTAGGTGAAGTAGGATTTCCATACCTCAGACGAGAGATAAACTCGTCGATAAAGTCGATTCGCTTGACCTGATCAACGAAAAGTTGGATGCTCTCCATGAACTGCTCGGGGGCATAGTCATGAATGATATTCATGTCCACCATCTGACTGCGACAGGTCAGGAACGCTGCCCGATAATTCTTGCGATCAATGAATGACCGGATACCGGCGAGTACGAGGGCCCGAGGGTATATGGTTTCGATGTTGCCGCGGGGCATCTGTATAATGACAGCGAATGTCGAAGGCATGACCGTGACCAACCGTCCTCCGCGCTCGATGCTTCTGCAGCGTTCGTCCGTTTCCGGGGTATCAGGAGGTACATCCATTTCTGAAACATGGGCGTTAGTTATTGTATGGTGGGAATGGAAGTGGACTTCCAAACCTTCTGCTCTCGTCAGGTGGACGAATTTGATCAGGTGTAGGGAGGTTGTGAAGACGATATGAGCTTGTGTGAGAAGGAAGGAAGTGCAGTTCTTGGCAAGAAGTGTTTTGTTGGCATACAGAGCCCCGGACTTGGTCATAGAGATGAGAAGAGTCTTGTAGAATATTAGTGATCAGTGATACATGGGATCTAAACGGTGGGTATACCTCATCTTCAGAGATCTGCACAGCTTGCGCCCAGTACGTCTCGGCAGATGGACTTTGGCTCCATGGCATAACTTCGAACTGGTTTGGGGAAGGCATTGAGATGTAGGAGTAGGTGATCGGGTGGTTTGGTCCTAGATTGTGAGAGAACCAGAGCGATTCATGCCCGAGAGATGCGAACATTGACATGATTTGTTCCGAGTCGGCTGCTTGGTAGGCAACCTTAGTCTCCCGAGTCTCGAGCGTAGTCCGCTCTATGCAGGTGTTGTTAGGCCCACTGCTCTTGAGCACGTAGACTTCAGTCTCATTAATGAAAGCGATCTGGCGGGGTCGACTATTCGGTGCATCCGAAAGTGGATAGCTTGACTCAAGTATTGGGACAGGGACTGGTCTAGTTTTGAGGGCCCAGATAAAGACGGAGAACCGATCGTTCTCAAGAATAGCGATGCGCGTTCCTGACTTGCTGAATGCCACGTCAATGATGTTTGAATCAAGTGTCAATTCATTATGGGCCATAGGGGGCGGAACACCGGCCAGCCTCAAGGGAGTCAGCTTCAAGTTTTCTGTCGTACGTCAGCAGCTTGAAGTCATAAATGCAGGGCAAACACATACTCCCGTCTACAACACCCACGGCACCAACATCAGCTGGGCTTGTAGTGGAGCCATGGGCGACGTCAAACACAAATTCCACGTCCAACATTGATTCTACCCGGTGATTAGCATATGACAATCCACGAATTGAGGGCGTACCATACCATGAGCGCCAGCAAAGAATCGCAAGGCCTTTTCTTGATGCCACGTGAAGGTAAAAGGAGTGGCGTAATCGAAGTTACTGACGATAGGGATCTCTTGCTTCAAGTAATAGTGGTAATTGCCCATTGTCCAGAATTGGACACGATCTCTGAGCCGGACAGCGAGAACAGTCGAATCGACGTTCCAGCTCAGAGAGATATCCGAAGCCCACGTCGAGCGCTCTTCCTCTGTAAGACGAAGAGTGAACTCGCCGTGGCGCAAGCCGTTTCTCTCGAAGAATACCACATCGATTCTATCATCGCGTCTCTGAATGCCGGCAATAAGGTTACCATATGGCCTCCAGCTAAGGGCACCTTCCAGGCCATCGACTGGTTCACTGATACTGTCTAAAGCACCCTCACGCGAGTAGACTCGAATCGCGCGGCGCACGCCAGCCTCAACACTGTTCACAGCGACATAAGCACCGTCTCCGCGCCAAGTGATGGTCGTTCTTCCGTCATCATTGGCGCTCAGCTTGCCCTCGTCCACTTTCTCTGGGACGGTAGGATCACGGAGGGCCTTGGCCCGTTTGCCTTGGAATTGAGTCTCGCGCTTGCCCCAGCCCACGGAGACATGCTGGGAAGCGTTGAGGTCTTCTTGTGTGAAGGTGATCTCGGCCACATTATCAAACTCTCTAGTCATGTACAGGAAAGTGTTGGCTCGAGTAGTCAAGGCCAGAAGCTCCTCGTCAGGCGACCAAGCGGCGGCTGTGATACCAACATCAACCGAGCCCACAATCTCAATCTTGTCCTCGCCGGGGAGAGGCTCTTCGCGTACGATGACAATATCACCACCTTCCAGAACCAGGCAGGCAGTTAGGTTGTCTGCGAAGTAGTGGAGGGACAGTACGCGATCGCATTCCAGCTCGGGAAGCGGGCATGGCGCATCCCAGGATGCGATGCACTCGAATACATCGGCTCCGACTGGCTCTGAGAAATGGGCGTCATGACGCTTTCTCCGCAGCTCGATAACTGCGTTATTTGCTGTAGGACCAAAGGTACAAATGACTGCGTCCGAAGCAGTGTCCCAAGCTGTCGCTGTCAAGGGGAGCTCGTTCTGCAGTTGCACCTCAGTGAGGCGCACGATTTTAAGGTTGCGCATCTTCGAAATAGCAAATCTTCTACCCCGCCGCCATTAATCGACGGCCGCTGGAAGATATTGATAATCCTTTTATTTTTTATTTTTTGGCGAGAAAAAGAAAGATAGAAAGGAACAACCGACTGGAAGTGAAAAGGTCTCAGACGGCCGTCATAGAATCTAGATCTAGACTAGACTCGAGAAAGAATGGTGTTCTGTTTCTGGTTCTTGCGTTTGGGCGGCGGAGCGGTCGCGGGCACACCAATGATTCTGAGTCGACAATTTAATTTTCCTTTCCTAGACGGATTTCGACCAATGACTTCATCCATATTCTAATAAGGTATCAGACAATCCGCGGCACTGCACCAACAACCTCCATGATGCTTCTTACAACACTGGAGACCTATAATCTAAGCATTTCTCTACGTAAACTTATGATGTACTTAATGCCAGAAATATTATTCTGAATCAAAACCGTGCTCAATTCCTCAACTTTATACAAATTTCCGAAAACATCCGATCTAGGATACACACTCGACCGCTGATCCCCCGAATCCCACCAATTTCCGTTGCGCGTGAATATTGCACAGCACAATAGGGCGCTTAGCGGGTCTTGTAGGTCTGCCAGACTGGAGTGAGAGTTAGACGATTGCTGAAGGGACGTGCTTGTGGAGCAATGGGTGACATACCAGCAATACCGAAGGGAGCACCGAAGCCGGTGACTAGTGAATGGAGTTAGTGACATTGACCCATGAAAGCCGTTCTCATCCGGCGCGGAGGGACTAACTCATGAAAGCCCAGTATCTCCAGAAGAAGTACTTGGTGAGGGGATTGAAGGGAAGGTTGGAACGGGGACCCTCAGCGTAGTGGTAGGGGCTGCCGAGCTGGGCACGGGTGGTGGAAAAGCCACGACGGGCGACGAAAGAGGTGGCCATTCTGGCGCGGAGAGCGGAGGCGGCGTACATCTTAAGCAGAGTTAGAGTCAGTTGTTCGATGACCACGGACTTGCAGGCAGTTACGCACTTTGAGAGAGATGGTAGAGCACGAGTGTCAGGGCAATCTTACTGGAATCAATCAACGGGCGGAGGAAGAGCTGGAGGAGTGGAACGATACTCCGTCGCGGCTGCCCTCCGGAAGTGCAGTCACGTGTTTGTCTATCTAATCGGGTAAGTTTCACCGGCGGAGAGCTGCTGCTGCCCGCCCGCGGCTTTCATTGTGTTAACCAAAAATTTTGGGGCCGATCGCCTTTAACCCAACTCTTCTTCGTCTTGGAAGAGAGAGAAGCGTCGCAAGTGTCCAGGTCAGTCTCCGGTCTTGCTTTCGTTGATCGGCCACCATGGATGAGCTTTTCGACGTCTTTGACGACCAGCCTCAGGCTGTCAAGCCGGCTGAAGGAGCAACCAAGATATCAAAGAAAGACAAGAGCAAGAAACGGCAGGTCAATGGCGATGTCAAAGCAACCGCCGCCGCAACCGCCGCTACGGAGGATATCGACATTCCCGACGCCGCCGACGCCCAGGTCCCTCCCCCCGTGGACGAGAAGGGACCCGAATCAGAAGAAGAGAAGGAAGCCAGCCCTGTTGCCGACTCAAATGAACAACCCGATGCGAAACGTCCGCGCCTCGCGACAAAGGAGGCTGAGCCTGTCTTGGTCGATTCATTCGAGACGGAGCAGGAGCGCGAAGTCGCAGGAGCCACCGGACTGCAAGCTTCGGCCGATTCTGCGTCTTTGAAGTTATCCCACCAAGTTCGACACCAGGTCGCCATTCCGCCGAATTATCCCTACGTGCCTATTTCCCAACACAAGCCGCCGGAGAACCCTGCCCGCGTATGGCCATTTACCCTCGATCCTTTCCAGCAAGTAGCTGTCGCATCCATTCAGAGAGAGGAGAGTGTGCTTGTCTCCGCCCATACCAGTGCCGGAAAGACCGTGGTCGCCGAGTACGCTATCGCGCAGAGCTTGAAGAACAACCAGAGAGTCATCTATACCAGTCCGATTAAGGCGCTGAGCAACCAGAAGTTCCGTGAATTCCAACAAGAGTTTGGAGATTGTGGTTTGATGACTGGAGATGTTACTATCAACCCTACGGCTACATGCTTGGTCATGACCACCGAGGTAGGCGCTCTTTGGCTGGAAAGGCATTCCGATGCAGTTCGCGCTAACGCAGCACATTTTCCAGATTCTACGTTCGATGCTCTACCGTGGCTCCGAGATCATGCGTGAAGTGGCTTGGGTCATCTTCGACGAGGTTCACTACATGCGCGATGCCAGTAAGTCCCACGGACCTGACGGTTGCCTTTTTCTTGCATATAACTGACAACTCCGCAGCCCGAGGTGTCGTCTGGGAGGAAACTATCATTCTCCTGCCCGACAAGGTTCGGTATGTCTTCTTGTCGGCGACAATTCCCAATGCCATGCAGTTTGCGGAGTGGATCGTGAAGATGCACAACCAGCCCTGTCACGTTGTGTACACCGACTTCCGACCAACCCCGTTGCAACACTATTTCTACCCCGTCGGCTCTGAAGGATTGCATTTGATCGTTGATGAAAAGGGTGTCTTCCGCGAAGATAACTTCCAGAAAGCGATGAGCAGCATTGCCGATAAGAAGGGCGATGACCCTTCGGATGCCATGGCTAAGAGGAAAGGAAGGGGCAAAGACAAGCGCTTGAACAAGGGCGGCCAGAATGACGAGAAGAGCGATATGTACAAGATCGTTAAGATGATCATGCTTCGGAACCTCAACCCTGTTATCGTCTTCAGTTTCAGCAAGCGCGAGTGCGAGAACGGTGCTCTTCAGATGAAGAATCTGTCATTCAACGACCCTTCGGAAAAGGAGATGGTCCAAACAGTTTTCGACAATGCTCTTAAGATGCTCTCGGAAGAAGATCGGAATTTGCCCCAGATTCAAAATCTCCTACCGCTTCTGCGCCGTGGTATCGGTGTCCACCACTCTGGGCTGCTTCCTATTCTCAAAGAAACCATTGAAATTCTGTTCCAGGAAGGTCTTATCAAGGCTCTGTTTGCTACTGAGACCTTCTCCATTGGGCTGAACATGCCGGCAAAGACTGTTGTGTTCACCAGTGTGAGGAAATTTGACGGCTTCAGTCAACGTTGGGTTACTCCCTCGGAATTCATCCAGATGTCTGGTCGCGCTGGCCGAAGAGGTTTGGATGACCGTGGTATTGTGATTATGATGGTTGGAGAAGAGATGGATCCTGCGGTTGCAAAGGAGATCGTACGCGGCGAGCAGGATCGGCTGAACTCGGCTTTCCACCTGGGCTACAACATGATTCTCAACCTCATGCGTGTGGAAGGTATTTCGCCTGAGTTCATGCTCGAGAGATGTTTTTACCAGTTCCAGAACACGGCTGGTGTTGCCGAGCTTGAGAAACGTATGGTCAATCTATCCCGAACTGTTTACTATCATGCTAACTGATGTCACAGAGCTTGCGGAATATGAACAGAAGCGCGCGAGCATGAAGATTGAAGACGAAGGCACCATCCGTGAATATTATGACTTGCGGAAACAGCTTCAGAAGTTCACCGATGAAATCAGGACCGTCTTCACCTACCCCGACTACTGCCTGCCGTTCATCCAACCTGGTCGCTTGCTTCAAGTGAAGCATAAGGATCACGACTTCGGCTGGGGTGTCGTTGTCAACAGCAAACAGCGCAAGGCACCGAAGGGCTCGAGTGAAGAGTACACTCCTCACCAGCAACACGTTGTCGACGTTTTGCTCCAACTCCCCGATGGCAACTCTGTGGGTACCAAGTCCTTTGAAGACATGCCATCTGGGGTGCGGCCGCCTAAGGAGGGCGAGAAGACATCTATGGAGGTCGTCCCAATTGTGCTTAGCTGCATTCAGGCCATCGGTAAACCGCGCGTTTTCCTCCAAAAAGACTTAAAATCCAAAGACGCGCGAAATTCGATGAAGAAAACCCTTGCTGAAATACACAAGCGTTTCCCCGACGGCATCGCTACTATGGACCCGCTTGAAGACATGCAAATCAAAGATGATAATTTCAAGAAGACTCTTCGTGTGAGTAGACTCGTCCTTGAAACCATGTCTGTATATCACTAATCAATCAACAGAAAGTCGAAGTCCTAGAGTCTCGCCTGTTCACCAACCCATTGCACAACTCTCCCCGTCTAGCGGAACTGTACGATCAATATTCGGAGAAAGTGGGGCTTGGAAACAAGATTAAGGAGACGAAGAAGAAGATCTCCGACGCCATGTCTATCATGCAGCTCGATGAACTGAAATGCCGCAAGCGGGTCCTTCGTCGGTTCGGTTTCATCAATGAAGCCGAGGTCGTACAACTGAAGGCTAGAGTTGCGTGCGAAATCAGCACGGGTGACGAACTGATGCTCAGTGAACTTCTTTTCAACGGTTTCTTCAACAAGCTTACGCCGGAGCAAGTCGCTGCCGTTTTGAGTGTCTTCGTGTTTGAGGAGAAGACCAAGGAGACCCCTGCTCTAACACGGGATGAGTTGGCCAAGCCCCTAAAAGAGATCCAAGCGCAGGCTCGGATCGTCGCCAAGGTCTCGCAGGAATCCAAGCTGGCCGTCAACGAGGAAGAATACGTCAATAGTTTCCACTGGGAACTGATGGAGGTCATGTATGAGTGGGCGAACGGAAAGTCCTTCTCTGATATCTGGTAGGTTCCTTTCTCTTGCTCGTGAATCGTTCTCCCGCAATGCTAACCTACCGTCTGTGCAGTCAAATGACCGATGTCTACGAGGGCAGCTTGATCCGAGTTTTCCGCCGACTCGAGGAGTGTATGCGCCAGATGGCTCAGGCAGCCAAGGTCATGGGCAGCGAAGAACTTGAGAGCACTTTCGAAACCGCCCTGACCAAGGTGCGTAGGGATATCGTCGCCGCCCAGTCCCTGTACCTATAAAGCACCATACTATCGTTGTTTCACTTCGCCCTCTCGATTGTGTCTTCTCTCGCTTCGACTTTGGTGGTTGGGCTGTTTCTTTTATTACCTTGGTGGTCGCATATCCGGCGTCAGGCTTCACAAAAAGGTTTATGTATGGCTTTTTCTTGCCGTTCTTCCGTTTCTCACATTGTTTTATGTCTACATATTCCTTCTCTGTAAATGAGGGTGTCAATCTTGTGCGACACTCGATTCTAGATGGGCGCAGTCCTCTTTACCATCCCAGCTGGCCGTTTCCCAGTTGATCTACGATCGACTTCGTCTTTTTTTCTTCTCGTCCTTCTATCAATCGAAACTGTAGCCACGATCAAAATGGGTAGATCGGATTGGGCTCTTTATGAAATGTGTGGGGGTACTTGAGGGGAGCCGACGAAGTTCGCCAACTAATCATGGATTGAATGGCAACAAAAAAAAACCTCTTTGGCAGTCGTCTAGACGAAGGATACAGATGAATCAGTAGTGTCTATCAATAGTCCTTGCCCCACCGAGGGTGTTTACAACTTCTTTGAGTGAGCAACAGCCGCTGCCAACCAAAACCGAATCCCCCAGCAATAGCAGCAAAACCCGCAACAAAAGAATGAGGACCGTACGTGGGATCTGGATCGGAAGCTATTCCTTTTTCTTTGACCTTGGTTCTAAGTAGTGATCTGAGACAGCAGGCATCCTTTGAGAGAGCCACTTGGAATCTTGTCCTTGCTGGCGTACCATTTACCGTATCTTCCATCGCGGTGTATATTGCGCAATATGTTTCAGATGCAGTCGAGATTCGAAGATCGAAAAAGAAATCCTAGGGACTTTCCGCGTATCGAATCGAACGCGGGGACGGTGGATTGTCCAAGCGTTGAGATGAGTGATATTTTGCGTACTGTACGTGTTGGCTAAGAGGTCGCATGACTGTTTCATACTCTCGCTCTCTCTCTGACTTGGAACTACTGGTGTAGGAATTGGTCTATTTGCGGGATGATCTTGAGAGAGAAGGTCGGTATGGGGGCAGACAGGGCTGCTTGACGGAGCTGATGCGTACATGCACTGTAAGTTACTGTAGATATCGATCTATGGGCGGGAATATCAACCTTCTTTTTATTGTTACGGTGTCTGACCGATGACAATGTCTAGCGTTGTGCCATGAGTTCTTTAGCGTTCCTTGACTCTTCCGGTATCGGGTGGGCTAATCCTGAAATTTCAGTCTTACTGTTCGCAGAAAAATAAAGATGGGAGGGGAGGAAGGCAACCCCGCAAGGATGGTGGTAGATGTTGATGGTGAAGTTTTGGCGCAAGGTCGTTCTCTGCGTTGTGCTCTATCTACTGGTAACTGATCTAAACTCATCCACGTCGACAGTGCATTGCCTGTGTGAGGCTGACTTAAGTCCATTACTGGGGCATGTATCTATCCGAGTTTCAGGATCACGACTGGAGATAACTACAACATTGACGGAGAGTTTAGTTGATCTATTGGCGCTGCCGGTGGCCTTGGTATTGCTGGTTTTGGAGGGGGGGTTTGTTGGCGTGAGTGGCCATGAATCTATCTACTTCGCCTAAAATGAATGGTTCGCTTGCGAGAGACGCCAATGTGTTCATGACGGCTGAGGACCCTTCGAGTACAGTACCTGACTGGCTTGGTATCCCTAGAGCATGGTGGCAATGCTGTCATGGTCATATTTGGCTCAGATGCGGTTTGATCTGAGTCAACCAGCGTGGTTAATTTCCGAGATGATCTAGATATGTGAGACTGCTTTCAGACTATTGCAATCGTGCAGAGAGCAGCTCTGTATGGTTCATGTAGGATTCAAGTGCTTCTGAGAGGAAGGAAGGGATCCCAAAGAACGAAAAGAGAACTGGGTAATGTCGGACAGTTTTTTTATTCTCTTCTCTCTACTTATTTTTTAGAGTTGACGCTTGGTTAAGTTGTGGTCATGCGGACGACGAGAACTATGCGGATGGATTGAGAGATTGCTGCTCTACTGCAAGACCCCGGAAATTAAAACAATGCAAGATTTCCTTGCCACGGGGCTGCGGTGCGGATTCTTGCAGACGATGATGAGTTACGGAGTACTGAGTAGTTGTTGTGTTAAAGGGAAGAAGGGAGGGAGATGGTGGTGATATTCAGTAGTGATACTCAGTAGAATAGAATCTCTGATTAAAGAAAGTGCATTGAAGGCTTGCGTTGCCTCCCGCAACCCGTCCCGAGGCTCCACCGCCTCTCGCTCTTCTTTCTTTGCTGTGTCTCTCTCTCTCTTTCCCCACCAAGAAGGCAAACAGTCATTCAGGTTAACTGAAACCTTTCTTAGTCTTTCTTCTCCTCCACTTCATTCCCATTCCTGCAACTCCACCACCAACTACCACCTTCACCACCACCACCACCACTACTACCACCATCTTTCCTTTCCCTTGCTTCTTCTTGCATTTCTTTTCTCTTTCTCCTACTTTTTCAAAACACTCCCCTCTCTCTCTCTCTCTCTCTCTCTTTCTCTCCTAGACATCTCCTCGTGCTCCTAGCTGACGACCTATCCGTCCCTCGTCCTCGTTTTCCCTCCGTTGGCTACGCTACGACCCTTCCTCTCCTTTTTCTCTCTTGCCCAACCTTAAGCGGTCGGTGGCCATCATCATGAACAGTTTGGTGGCTACACCACCTGTGCCTCCTCACCACTTCTACGAACCTTCTCGTCTCTCTCCTTCCCGTCCAAGTAAGATTAAATTCCTTATCAATCCTTTGAAATTGTTTTCCCGTATATTGATTGTCCCCGTCCCTTTAGTGTCTACCCCAACCCACACGCCCAACCGCAAACGGAAAGCTGATGATGATGGCAACGATCACGATGGCCGAATGTCCGCATCTCCCACCAACTCGCCCGCTTTCACTCCTCGAACCCTTCCATCCAACCGACACCATATCAAGCGTGCTCGTCCAAATGTCAGCGGGCGGCCTCTCTCCCTGCCCCGCTTGCTAGAGACCTTGGATACCAATGCTCTCCGGGGCGTTCTCCGCTCCATGTGTGAGCGTCATCCGGCCCTGATGGATGAGGTCATTCATACCGCCCCGCGACCCAGCGTAGCATCCGCACTCCAGGTGCTTCGGAATTATCAGTCCAACCTTCAGTCATCATTCCCGTTGGGCGGCAGCTCTGAATCAGATTACGCCTACAACCGAGTCCGGCAGCCTTTGGGGAGTTTGTTGGACGCCCTGAGTGACTTTACACCACATTTCCTCCCGCCAAACGAAACACAACCCTCCGTATCCTTGAGCTATTTAGATGGGGCAACCGACATAATTCACGCTTTGCCCCGGTGGCACACACCTCAAAACAATCTAGAGCGGGACTCTGCGTACGACGAGATTTGCAAGGCCTGGATCTTGGTGATTCGGGAGGCTGCCAAACGTGGCGGTGGTATTCAGTTACAGTACGGTGGTTGGGATCAGAAACTGGCAAAACACAACCAAAACTCCGGCGGTAAACTGCAGGCAGCCGTCAATGAGCTCGGTTCCAGCTTAGGGTGGATGCACAGACCGGATGCCCAAGGCTATGGAAGCCCTGGAGGTAATGACCTTGGATCCATTCGCGAGCAACTCTTGTCGGGCACATACGGGCTCGGCACCCCAGTCAAGGTTGGGCCATGGTAATGCCGCCAACAATTGACTGCCAGCTTCATCTTCTCCCATCTTCTTCCTCCGACCTACTCCAAGAACAACATCCTTCACGACGCTTCTTTCACCGCCCTCCCCATTCAGAGCTAGTGTCCGAAACCTCGACCGTGCAATGTCCACGTATGATACGATCACGATACTTTATCGCATGAAACTAGACTTGAGGGTCAGCTTGGCGTTTTGCAGTGTGCAAGCAAACATTTTTTTCTGTCTTTTGCTTTAATGTGTCATACTTTGGGAAGCCGCCGCCTTCATCGCCTACTCTCGATCTAGATTGCCAGATTTCAGGCCCCGGGTTCAATCTTTTTTCTTTGTGTTCAACATGTTCCATGCATCCAGATCCTCCTTGCATTGATACAGTCCGGCATGGTTTTTCATCTTTCTTTCGAACATTGACTTCTTCATTCCTTTCCTGCATCCATGCGACTTCATTGCATTCATCTTATCATATCACGACGAAGCCTCAAACATTTCCGTTGACTGACCAACATACCCTGTTGTCGTCCCACAATCCTGTATACCCTTTCATTCCATAATGTTCCCTCAACTAATATCATCCTACCGGTGTCTGGCTTGTTCATTGGGGTTTTGCAAGGAGGCTTTCTCTACATTTTCTGCCGACCTCCGGGGGCCAAGTTCTACGTGTCAATCTAAATAAAGAAGCAACAAAGAGCATTCGTTTTAGCAGTGGTGGAGGCTTGTACAGTTCACTCGGAGCGAATTGGGAGAATTTCAATGCAAATGCAGGGGTTGGGCTCTATACATCTGTCCTAATCGGTTAGTCGACGTCCCTTTCGAGCAAAACCACAAATCTTAAGCTGCATGCAGTGCCAAGGTAGCAGACACCAATTCAAAAGCTCAATTGAAGCTCGATGGTTTTAGCAGTTGAGATATATGGTATTTCTGTCTTAGCTGGGTGATCAGAGAAAACTTATCCAGGGTCGAAAACAAAAACCCTTCCATCGAACACGCATCTGTAGCTCCCTGTAGTATGTAGGTCAATGGTCCCTCCGCTAGTGACTCGTAGGTGAGTGAGCCTCGCTCCTCCTCAATGTTATGGCATCTGCGGGGACACACTGTACAGCTCACACCAGCGTCATCTACGATCCAATAACAAAGCAATGAAATCCTCGTGGACAAAGACATCTGCCTGTGCATTTATGTGTCCCGTGGCTGCGCCGTACAGAGCAGGAAGGAGAGGCCCGATGCGGGGGGGGGGGGGGGGGGGGGGAAATACTATGTCGATCCCGCAGGGTACAGTAGACGGGTACATACACAAACAGGGCGCACACAGCATACGGGCCAGTTCTTTTTGCATTAAATAGGGAGGGAGGGAGGGTTTGCCTCTCGGGCCCAGTCCAGACAAAAGGGAGGGAGAGGAAATCGAACTCAAGACAGCGCACGTTTCACAACCCGGAACAGCCAGCCTGCATCTCCCCAGCCGCCTTGGTCTCCGGGCTTCTCGCAGACGGAAAGGACTTCCGATTCGGCGATGGAGATTGTGTCGGTGTCGTCTGCTCCAATTGATGGTGTTGCTGCTACTGCTACATGGGTCGATGAGGGGTCATTTTCAACGTTATCGGCTGAAGGGTGAGGGGGATGGTCTGCGATGGTGATGGTTCGGGATTCGACTACAGTGCCGTCATTGCCGGTGCCACCACCACCACCACCAAAGGAAAGCGGCCAGTCCTCGACGCCGAATAGGGTCCATTCGACCATGCGGTCGATCCAGCTGCCGAGTCCGAAGCCTCGCTCCCGCGTGAGGCGTTGCAGTTCTTGCTCGTCGATCTCGTCTGACTCGTCGCCCGAGTCGAGGTACGGGTAGTCGGAGGTGAAGGACGAGAGGTCGTCGTCGATCTCCTCTTCCTCGTCGAATTTGGCGTTCTCGTCGCGTTGGATGGATGCCATCTCGGCGCGGATGCGCTCGTCGACGAAGTCGGGGATGAGGGGGCGGTTCTGTTGTTGTTGTTGTTGTTGTTGCTGTTGTTCCTCGATCTTTTGCGTACTGGTGCTGGTGCTGGTGCTGGTGCTGGTCAGAAGGTCGGCCGTTCTGCTTTCGCGGCGGGAGGAGGCTGTGGTCGATGTTGCAGTAGTGGCCATGCCTAGACTGGTCATGGCAAGGTCGGCTCTACTGGCCACCCGGCTGCTGGGGCGGGACCGTGAAGCCCGTCTGGATCGGGAGTTGGCCGCGGCTGGTGTGGAACGTCCGGACCGGCCATGTCGAGGACTACCTCCGTAGGACCAGCTATGATGGTGGTGGTAGTGGTTGTGGTTGAGGAAGTCCAGGCTGAGTTGATGGTCGTCAGAGACGAGGCTCGTCGAGCTCTGTCGTTTCACGAGCCAGCTCTGGCCTTTTTCTTCGCGGGTCGAGGAAGCGAGTGCGATGCCTGCGCGGAGCATCCATTCTGTGTCTTGATGGTGGTTTGCAGGGTGACGGGTACGGGTGCTACGGTTAGTGTGGTGGGTTTGGTGAGGTTGATGCTGCTGCTGCTGATTATGATGATGATGGAGGGGGCTGCTCGCACTCCGGGCTTGTAGGTTGGGGTCGCTGGCGTGGTGGATGCGGCTGGAGCTCTTGCTCCGGGGATGGTGTCGCGTGCGGGACCCGCTGCGGGAGTGGGAGTGCGAAAGCACCCCCGGAGTGCCGGGCACGGAGAAGCTAGCCAAATAAGACCTTGCGGTGGGCGGGTCCGGGCTGTCTTGGTGGTTGTGGTGGGGATGGTTGAAGTAGTCTGGAACCTCTGCCTCCTCCTCCTCCCCCTCCTCGTCGGCGAGAAATCGAGGATTTAATGGAGCGAGAGAGACATGGTGCAGAGAAGGATATGATCGTCGCGATCGAAAGGCGCTCTGGACTGGTGGCTGCGCGGGGACCTGGGTTTGCTACAATAGGTGATGGTGTTAGATGAGCATGGTGTAGGAAGGAGAAGGGGACGGAGTAGATTGCATCTCGAAGTATATAGATAGAGTGCTTACCTCCATCTGGCAGGATCCGATCGATTGGATCGGAGATAACGTGAGAGACTGGGATGAGAAAGTGACTCAAATGACAAATGTGGAGAGAGCGAGAGAGAGCGAGAAACGAAGGAATCGGAAGTTGGAAGGGAGCAAATGGAGTCCTTAAGAGGAAATTGTCGGCTCTCTGAGACTGGGATTAGCCTTGGCCCGCGCATGTGAAAATGCGGGCAGAACAAGACAGCCTGGAGGACAATGGCACCACCAACGATAAGTTGATCATCATGCATCTATCACTCCACCCTTCAATCAGTCGTTCCTACTTCAGATGGACCGAGGTCAGCACTCGGGATTTAAAGGCAGTCCTTACGAGGTGGTGGTTGGATCGGAATGGTAAAACCGCGTTGGCTGGGAATTGGTGCTCGTGTGGTGAGGCGAAAGTCAATCCACTAACCAATTAACCTACACAACAGTTCCAAGTTGTAACCCTTTCTATTTTTATGCAGGCAAGCTGCTAATCTACAGATTAGATCGCAACAGCTGGGACTACTCTATGTACTGTAGGACATAACTTTTTGGTTTTACAGAGGAGGTGATTCATAGGCAGTACGACTTCAATTACTTCATGTGCTTGCTTCACCATCAGCTCCTGACCAAGTCACTTGGACTGTTGTGTGCTATGGTCAACCTCATACCTCGTACAAATAACAAGTTACCTGTACTTGCAGTGGAACGCCACACCGCCCTGGCGAGGGAAGATCCGCTCTCCGTCGGCTTGCTTGTCCATCTTCCAACTACATCCTTCATCTTTCATCATTCATCATTGATTTTCTTGGAACCGAGTTGACCCTACGTCTTTCCTTGGAGCTCAAGCTTCCGTATACCTGTTTCCCCTTTAGTTCCCTCATTCGCTGGTGTCCTTAACTCCCTTCAGCCTCCTTGAAACCTGTAGCCATTACCTATCTCCTACCTTGTCTGCCCAGGCGCCTATCTGATCCCCTCCCGTCTCTTATCGTGACACTGAGCTAGTCTTCCTTCATCAACCACCTCCACCACCACCAGCTCCGTCATGACGGACGAGGCAGCCAGGCCTCTGTTGGACGGTGATTCTAGGCCGGGCTCACTTCATCCAGTTCCTTCACCCAAGGATGGAAAGACACCTTCTCTCACTTATCAGGAGCCTCGACCGTATGAATTGTCCGATGAATCCGCTCCGCTTCTAGTCCGTCGGGATGACGATGAGTTTCTGGGGTACGGCGGGACCGACCCCAGACAACGACGTGCTTCCGATCTCTCGCGCCGCTCCCTCTCCTCGGACCCCTCCTTGAAGAAACGACGGGGCAAAATTCGATGGCCCATTTTCTGCGCCGTGATCTCAATCCTTGCGGTCGCTGCAATACTGGTCTTTGCTTTTATTGCCCCAGCAGCTGTAAAGGAGTACGTGAAAGATGCAACGGTCTTCAACCCCACCAATGTGTCAATTGAATCGACGACCGCTACGGGAGTCCGTGCTCGTGTACAAGGGAACCTGATCCTTGATGCACAGCGCATCAAAAAGAGACCAGTACGGGATCTAGGTCGTTTCGTCACCTGGATTGGAAGAGAGGTCGAGACCGGAGAGGCCGAGGTGGAAGTAAATCTACCCGAGTACGGCAATGTCCTCGTCGGTACCGCCTCTCTGCCCCCACTCAACATCAATATCCAGAACGGCCATGTCAATCATGTCGATTTCATTGCAGATCTGGTGGCAGGCGATGTGGAAGGCGTTCGCTCACTAGCCCTGGACTGGCTCGACGGCAGACTCGGCCACGTTCGTGTAGATGGCAGAGCAACAATGCATCTCCAATCCGGCTTGTTGGATTTGGGCACACAGACGATCACTGACACGATCGTCTTGCAAGGTATGTATTGCGGCGCGAATTTCTCTTATGCTCCACAGCAGGCTGACCCAATCGACAGAGGGCGACTTTCCCCCGGTGCCCACGGTCAACGTGACCGGTCTTAACGTTCATGATGCGGACACCCCTGGAGATGAAGGAGCAATGGTCGTGGACGCGTCCGTTGCTGCTATGATCCAATCCCCTTTCTCCCTTAGCATCCCTCCACTTGGTTTCACAGTCCTGGTGCCCAACTGCTCTCCAGGGGACCCATACATCACAGTGGCCGGTGCCATGACCGAAGGATTCCCGGTCACTCCCGGCAAAACAACACTGATTAATGTCAGCGCCCTGATTCGAGGTCTTTCGGACGACTTGACGAAAAGTTGCCCAGGAGAAAAGAGCTCGCCGCTTGACTTCCTTGTCAAAAGTTACGTTCATGGCCGTGGAACAACTGTCTACGTCCGTGGAGCCGATGCGCCCTCCTTGGATACTCCAGACTGGATTGTGGACATACTAAAAAGTGTGACGGTACCGTTCCAGTTTACTGGCCATACCTTGGATAACCTTGTCCGCAATTTCACCATGTCGGATGTGCACTTCAGCTTGCCTGACCCTCTGGCAGAGCCGGACTCGCCTGAATCCCGTCCAACAGTCTCTGCTCTGGTGAAGGTCTTGATAGGGCTACCGAAGGAGGTTGGACTCGAATTCGATGTGCCCCGGGTCCGGGCCAATGCTGATGTGCTCTATCTCAACCGCAAGGTTGGAGTCTTGGATCTCAACAAGTGGCAGCCGGCCAACTCAACCTTGCTTGAAGATGTCGACGGTACCCCGGCAGTGCTGGTTGACTTTGCCATCAAAAACGCCCCGCTGAGGGTTACTGACGATAATGTTCTCACGGACCTTCTCCAAGATCTCATCTTTTCTGGTAAAATTATCAAGCTGAACGTGACAGCCAATGTAGATGCGGAAGTATCCACGGGACTCGGCATCCTGACGGTCCGCGAGATACCAGCCGAAGGAGAGGTTATCGTCAAGCGTTAGTCGCTTAGCTGCTCTGCACCATGAGGCTACTATCCAAACTGACTATTACTTAGCCCCGTACGGTGGCTCACTCGATGAATTCAAGCCACAGATTGAGTCGCTCAAATTAGGCGACACGACTGCGTCTTCACTACTCGTGGAAACGAAAGTCAATATTACGAATCCTACGCCGTATGCTGCTGCAATACCCCTGATAGATTTCGTAATGCTCTTCAATGGCTCAACAGTGGCCCACTTGACGGCAAAAAACGCCAAAATAACCCCCGGATCAAACAGCGGTCTTCACGTGGACCTCTTATGGAGTCCCCTCGGCTTTGATGGCCCATCTGGTGCCAGCGCTGGACGGGACCTGTTGTCCCAATATATCTCAGGTAAGCTGAACCGACAACACTGCAGCCGTTTCGGTACCTGATTTGTACTGCTGTAGGCTCCAATACTACGGTTACCATACGGACACACGAGAAGAGTATTCCCGCACTACCAGGGCTAGGACGGGCGCTTTCAAGATTGAGTCTGGACGTGCAGATTCCTCGTATCCCTGTCCCTCGGGCACCGGGACACGAGCCTGATGCGGGCAACGGGTCCATGGGATTTATACAGGGAGCTACGGTAATTTCTACTTTCATGGAGCTTGTCCTTTTGTTATGACGATGATGACATTGGATGCCATGTAGCCCTTGATGTACGATGTCATCATCGCGCGGGCACACCTCGGCTTGGTGAAACTGACTAATGCGATCTGAGTGCTCTTAGATGCACTTGTGGTCATCGACGGCCGAGTTCACACTGTCTTCGCCGTTCCCCAACACAACAATCGAGATCACTTCGATCGATGCTCAGGCGTTCTACCAAGCAGAGAGCGAGGAGGCAGAAGTCGGCTCTATCGACTACCGGATTCCGTTTCCGGTCCCTCCAGGTCTATCTGTGACTCCGCGATTGCCAGTAGATTTGAAGCTGGGCGGAATTGGCTACGATGCGTTGAGACGAGCCCTTGGCGGCTCTCTCCAGCTAGACGCCATCGCGAAGGTTGGCGTGCAGATCCAGCATTATAGGGACTGGGTGGTGTATCATGGCAAGGGCATCAAAGCAAAGGTAAAGCTGTGATACGAATTTCCTTGGTTCATCGGGCCAAGTCGGAGTTTGGGATTCGGGAGTTTCTTTTCGGCATAGAAATTTTGGTTTGGCATCGACTGGGATGCTATTCAGGTCGCAAGAAGAACAAGTCAATGGCGCCTTGCCACTAGTTTACACTCATATCACAAGAATAGCAACGTTCCAATAGCTTACCTTAAGCCATGCCTAAGAAAGTGGCGCCGTGTCTCAGCTGCCTAGTGACTATCTATTGAGTGTGATCGCACCTACTTCACTCAATGACTCATAGCCTGACCAGTAGGTAGATACATATGGAGGGCTTTCATGACGTAACATTTCGGAAAGTAACCTAGCGCAAGCGAATTGACCAATTTACAGGGAAAGCAGTCTGCTTCGAAACATAGAGAAAAGGATACGGATTGTTTTTTCATTGCAGGATATTGAACGTTGGATATTAGAGGAAGGACAATTTTTAGCCAGGAGGAAGGGTGCTAGCATCGACAACGTCGGCAGCATCCTTCTCAAGCTCCTCGGTAGGCTCAAAGAGAGGAGAACGGGGCAGGGCCATGAGACCGGTGCGAGTGGATTCGAGGACACCGAAGGGAGCGATGAGCTTCATGAAGGAGTCGATACGGGAAGGCTTAGCAGAACTGTTTAATTCGGATATTAGTTTCCCATTCGTCTTTTTTGTCAAAATGATATTCAACCCCCCCCCCCCCCCCCCCCCCACCCCTTTTTTTTTTTTTTTTTTTTTTTTTTTTTTTTTTTTTTTTTTTTTTTTTTTTTTTTTTTTTTTTTTTTTTTTTTTTTTTTTTTTGAAATGACTCACACTTCGACAATGCAGTTGTTGGTACTGATATCCAGCACCTTACCACCGAACTGGTGAGTCAGGCGGGTGATGGCGTCGAGATGCTCGTGCTTGTGGCGGAGGGCCTGACTGTGCGGCAGGTTGCGGGGGTGGTACTCGGTCTTCGCGATATGCTGCTTGGCGTCGCTCTGGCCCTGCTCGCCGGGGGTGGTGATCTCGCGGTGGTGCTGGAGCAGCTCCTCGAAGAACTCCGGGCCGAGGATGCTGACCTTGGCGAGGAGGAGCTCGCGCTGCACCAGCGCGGAGTCGGTGTAGTCCAGCACCGCCCAGACGGGGACCAGGTCGTCCAGCTGGCGGCGGGCCTGCTCGACGACGCCGTCCTGGCCCTGCAGCACGATGGTCATGCGGGACAGATCCTCGACCTCGGTGTTGCACACCACCAGACTGTCGATGTTGAAGCCTCGCGCCGCCAGGATCCCGGACACCCGGGACAGCACGCCCGGCTCGTTCTGCACCAGACAGTTCAGGATGTGCCGCTTCGGCGGGTTCGTCGGCACCGAGGGCGTCTCGTACAGGATCGACGAGACCGCCGTCGGCGCGTCCCATTGCGGCGACGCATCGTTGACGGGCAGCGGCAGCGGAGACCGGCGGTGCAGCGCCTTGTAGGCGAGCGCGGAGGTGGAGCTGGACGAGGCCCGGGAGGAGGAGGTGGTGGTCGTCGTTGTCGTTGTGAATCGCGGAAGCGTAGCGGCCAGGCGCGAGGTGCGGCTGGCCACAGCCAGGAAGGGCGTCGATGACGCTGTCGCAGACAGCATCACGGGGCGCCGGAATGCCATGATCGCCTGGTGGGGGGTAGAGCAGGCTTCAAGGGGCGGCGTTATGGGAGGGCGAGGATGCAAAACCGGGGGATCATGAATTAAGTTTCGCAGTCATCGATGGGCATTTTATGTCGGGGCCGCCTTCCGACCTCGGGGTTGCTGACTCAGTCCTCCGTTCGCCGGTCGCTGCTCGCTGCGCGGCGCTTTCAACGGTCTTACCGCTTTGGGTCTCCCCCCAGCCCAGACTCTCGTCACATGATCTGCTTCGATTCCACTGCATCTTTCCCCATTGGGAGTCTCGCTTTACTTGTACTCCGTAACTCTGCACATCTCTAGGATCGGTGGCTGATAATGGCTCTTGTTGATCACCACTGACTTCTCTCTTGTTTTTCTTGGTGTGATCGACAGTTTGTGTATTGTTCACATGTTGTGCTGAGAAGACACCTACTTGCTACGTGAGTTACATGAGTCCTATTCAGCTGTACTCCGTACTGTGACTGCAGACTGACACTAAACTACGGAACTAGTCCTTAACTTACTCTAATGCACACCCACTCAGCTTAGCGTCCACCAACTGGACGCTCTTCTGTTCTTCAGCAACTCCACCGCCTCCCGGGAAAGTCCTTCGCAGACCAAGACTTCCCAGTAACCTTGCTTTTGGGCCCTATTTTAGCCTTCTTCTCGCTGCCTTCTTATTACTTCTTTGACGTCTCTCCTCATTCCATTCGCTGCGCTCCCTCCTTAAATCCCTTCAATATTCCATTTCTCTCGCCTGTGAACTCTCCGCCACACTCATGGAAGAACACCGCCCCAAACGTTCTCGCTTCGATCAGACCGAGCCTGATTCGCGGCGCTCGTCTCGCTTCGACCGTCGCTCTCGATCTCCGTCGTCGCGACAAACCGAATCTGCTCGAGCCCGCAGCCCCCTTAGTCGAGAGCCTCGCAGTCCCAGCGCAGACCCTGCGAAGAAATCCGATCCTGCTGCCGCTGCTGGTATGTTCGCAAATTGTCTGGCGGTGGAATCGCACAGTGCTGATATGGTTCGATACAGCCGCCGCTGCGGCTAAGATCAACGCCCAGTTGCAAGCGAAGAAAGGAATTCAGCATGTTGACGTTCCCCCAATTCGCTCGGTAAGCACATCCTTCACTCCGTCGGTCGCATACCATCAGTGAAGGAATCATCACACTGACCAGCCCCGGTTTGTTTAGTCCGGAAGTCCTATGCCCAAGTCTGGTTCGCCTGGGGACGTCGATGCTTCAGGGAAGCTGAACGCCGAAATCTACGTTGCCGATGGAGACTATATCAAGGATATCGAGATCAATGATTTGCGCAACCGCTACACGCTGACCAAAGGCTCTACTCAGAAGATGGTAATTACTCCTGTTGCACCTGCTGATCTTCCAGGCATCTTGTTCGCTGGCTGACCAGCCGGCCAGCCGGCGGTCATGCGTTTTCCTCCCTTTGACCCTCTGTTCCTTCGTGTTTTATGATTGTGACTAAAAACTTACCCAAGTCAAACGAACTTATACACAGCATCTCACTTCCCCTCTTTTGCATCTGCTGACCTCCACTGCGTGACATCTAGATCAAGGAAGAAACTGGCGCCGGTACGCCTCCATCTCATACTTTTATCGACTGTTGACTGCTCAAGAAGGAAGCTCATGATTGATTCTTTTCTCAAGATGTCACTACCCGAGGAAACTACTACCCCGATAAGAGCATGGCCACGGCCGCGGTATGTCTCGCCCTTGTTCCGTCTCTCAAGAACCATGAAAATCTGACATTCTCGATGCGTCTCCTAGAACCCTCCGCTTTATCTTCACGTCACGAGCACGAACAAGGAAGGCCTCGAGAAAGCTGTCGCCCTGATCGATGAGCTCATGCAGAAGGAGCTTCCCAATTTGGTCGATGAGCGACGATTCCGCCGGCGAGAGCCGGAACAGGTAGAGCGTGATGAGTTTGGTCGTGTATGAGATATATCCCCAGGTCCACATCTGCTTCGAAGCTAATGGTGTACAGCGGAAATGGCCTGAGGAACGCATTCCCGTTGACCTCGAGCCCATCCCAGGTTTCAACCTCCGCGCTCAGGTCGTTGGCCAGGGCGGCGCATATGTCAAGCACATTCAGTCGAAGACCCGCTGCAAGGTCCAGATCAAGGGCCGTGGATCTGGCTTCATGGAACCCAGCACAGGCCGAGAGAGCGACGAACCTATGTTCTTGCACGTCGCGTGAGTAGTAACAACCTTCCCTAGTCCTTGCTCACCACTCACTGGTATCACAGTGGCCCCGACCCCAATGACGTCCAGAGTGCCAAAGAGCTATGTGAGGACCTCCTTGCCAACGTCCGTGAGCAATATCAGCGCTTCAAGGAGAACCCGCCCCAGCACAGTTACGGCGGTTATGGTCAGCGTGGCGGCGACCGCTATCACGGAGGAGGTTATGGCGGCGGCGGCGGAGGCTATGGCGGCGGCTACGGAAACCACCATCACAGCAGAGACAACAATAGCCACAATTCTCCGTCTGCATCGGCGAGCCCATCCACACAGGGTGCCCTAGGGGCCTCGGGATCGGGTACTCCCAGCGCGGCGGACTACAGCGCCCAGTATGCCCAGTATTATGGATCGGATCCGTATGCAGCCTACGGTGGGTACCAGAACTATGTCGCCTACTACCAGTACTACCAGCAGGCCGCTGCTCAGCAGCAACAGCAGCAACAGTCCCAGAGCCCTGCTCCTCCCCCGCCTCCTCCTGCCGCCGAGGCTCCTCCTCCCCCGCCTCCGGGCTCTGGCTCCCCTCCACCCCCTCCGCCTCCAGGCGGCAGCTACAGTGCAGTAAGTGGTTACCCTCTGACGGATTTGACGAATTGACATACTAACCATTCGATCCATCCTGATAGGTCCCGCCTCCCCCAGGATTGTAATTCTATAGCTAAAGCTACGCACTTGACAAGCAACCTAACAACCCCGTATACTACAGAGCCAGACTGATAATCACCACGCGCAGAACGTGCATTGAAGGAAACTACAGTCATTTTAGCTGCTTACCTACTTACCTACCCAATCAGCGCCTGCATCACGCCGAAATCTAGCTGGCTACTAAAACCGTCCGACTGACTGATTTGCTTGGCTAGTATTTGTAGTATCTGATATGTTTCACTTAACCTTCCTGGCTTGCCCTACTGGGTCACTTGGTGGTGGTGGTGGTGCTGCTGCTACTCGACTTCTGTAGAGAGCCCCAAACCGGAAATTATAGTCCCTGAGGTGTCCTACGATGCATGACCATTCATTCTTGTTGACTTAGAAAAAGCTTATCCTATATTGATTTCTAGCCCATTATAGCTCTCTGTCTTGTCTTAAACATCTAGACATGTTGATTGTCGATAAGCAGGGAACACGGTGTGTGTGCCTTAGGCGATTCGAGGAGAGAGTGAACGCAGCGTAAAGGCTTGCATCCGTTATTATTTAAAATATGGCACTAACCAGATTCTAGAGAGCCTGAGGGGGGCGTAATGATTTCGCTTATGTTTCCCCAGGCGACGTAGGGAGCGGAGCGTTGTCTCAGTAATCGCCGAAATCCCGATACCCCGGGAACATCTCCGGAAACATCTTCTGCATGTACCAGGGGACATGATTCATATCTACAAAGTCGTCGGCGTGGCTTTCCGGCGCCATCCTCGCCTTGCGCTTGGCGACCCCTTGCGAGCCCTCCTTGCAGAAGTCGCACGCAAAGTCGCAAGGAGAGGATGTGGTCGTGGTCGGGTTCATCATCTGGGTCGAACTGGAGGGGGCCTGCGAGCCCATCTTCTCGAGCTCGAGGTCCCCAAAGAAATCCTTGATCATCTCATGTCGGCACCGGGTGGTGGTCTCGCAGTAGCCGATGACCTTCTGGAAGCTGGCCAGCCGGGCGAACTGGTTTTGGACCGTCGAGTTGGTTCGATTGTTGTTGCCGCTGCCGCTGTTGATCGGCCCGCCGGTGCGGTTGCGGGCATTCTCGACATCGCGCTGCAGGCGGTCGAGGATGCGGTCCCGTTCCTGGGTGTTGTAGTAGACGATCGAGGCGGCGGCCCGGCCGTCGCGACCAGCGCGCCCGGATTCCTGGACGAAGCCTTCGAAGCTGCGCGGGGGGCTCCAGTGGATAACGAACCGCACGTGCGGGCTGTCGATGCCCATGCCGAAGGCGGTGGTTGCGACGATGAGGTAGAAGGCTGGCGGGATCGGGGGCGGCTTCCCGTCGCTGCGGCTGCGGGATTGAGAAACAGGCTGGGTCGATGTCCATTCGGTTTGGATGCGAGTTCGCTCCTCCGACGAGAGACCGGCGTGGTAGGCTACGGCATGGATGCGGCCGTCCCAGGCTCGGGAGAGCGCGCTCGCGAGCTTGTCCGAGACAGCCCGGAGGGGCACGTAGATGATCCCGGACACCGGGGGGAGCTTCGCAGCCTCCCCGGCGCCCAATCGCGCCTCTCTGCGGGCCTGCACGGCTTGCAGCCATGCCACAAAGTCCCGGATCTGGAAGTCTTCCGGCTCGGTCGGATCGCTCGCAAAGTCGTCCAAGTACCGGACCTCGTAGTGGATGTTGGGGCGGGCGGAGGGGGTGTTGAAGATCCGGAGCCGGAGCGGATCCAAGCCCAGGAGCTTGATGATGTCGGCGCGGACCCGCGGGGTGGCTGTCGCCGTTAGAGCACTGATCGGGACGGGCGGGTTGGACAGGGCCCGTCGAAACCAGCCGAGTTCCTTGTAGGCCGGCCGGAAGTCATGGCCCCATTCGCTGATGCAATGGGCTTCGTCGATGGCGATGCGAATCAGCTCCCCCTGGGAGTGGATCGTCTGGAGATTCCGCCGGAAGGTCTCGGTCTGGCAGAGCTCTGGGGTCACATACAGGAGCCGAGTCCTCGGATGGCCGGAGAGCAGGTCGTCCAGGATGACCCGTCGTTCGGAGATCGGCGTGGTGGAGTTGATCGTTGCTACTGCGACCCCGATGGCTTGTAGTGCCTTGACCTGATCTGTCTGCATGCCACCACCTGAGTAAATGGAACTGTGGCTATCAACAAAATCCACGAGAGGCTTACCATCAGCGCCAACAGCGGACATATTACAACAGTCACTGTGCAAAAGGGCCAAAATCAGCCAACCAGGTTTGGTGCACGATCACGGAAGCAGGTTAAGCAAAGTGGCAGTCAGGAAGAGTTGGGATGGGCCAACCAACCTCCATGACTGGTTACTGCTGGGAGTTGGAAGCACAGGCTCTTTCCAAACGATGTGTTGGCTTGTAAGAATACATCGTGGCCCTCCACAGCGGCCGTGATCACATCGCGTTGCAGTGGTCTGTTCGTCCCAGATTAGCGGATCTATCAGCGAAAGAGAGGAGAGATCTAGCACCGCGTACCTGAAAGAGTTTTTCTGAAACACACGGCGCAGGTAGAAGTCGAGGTCCACTTTACGGCGCTGCAGACCTCCGCTGACCATATTCGCAGCATCCCAAATAGTATGGAAAATGGGAGTTCGGGGATTGAGGTGAGTCGGGAAGTTCTCACGGAAGCGCGACGCGGTCTTCGAGGAAGGAAAGCGAACACGATACCACGTGATCCGGTATAGTGGTTTTGCCCTACAAAAAGGCAGGAAATGAGGAAGGATGGAGACAAAAAGAATTTAGAAGGAGCCAGTGCAGACTTCGGGTGGAATTCATTATTTTTCTTCATTAAATGATGGTACAGACATCTCCCACTGACCCAAGCTCGTATAAACCGCTGTGCAGAACAAGAACACGCCAATGTTGAATCCATCGCTGTGTTCGCAACCAATCTCTACCTGAGGGTATATCTATCTATCAGGTCTATATAATAATATACAAGCACCTTGGAAAAGGCCCACCGAAAAGGCAACGAAAAGAAAACAACAATCACAGATCGCTTCAACGCCACCGGACGTTTTTCATCTGCTTCTCCAGTTCCTCCTTAACAGCCATGACGTCCTGCGCCCTGCGCTTCCAGGGTTGCCAGAGGCGTTCCATTTGGAGCCATACTTCCATAACTTCCTGGGGTCCGTAGCAACGCCCAAACGCGCGGAGGATGGTCAAAATCATGCGACGACCTAGAAATACCCCGTTCTCGATTTGACGCTCCAGTTCCTCCTCCGACGCATCGGAACCAAGTGCCTCGTCGTCGCGTGCTGGCCCGTTGGAGACATTACCGGGCTCGACAACTGCATCGGGTTCCGTGGGTATGACCTCCCCAACGCCCGGCTCTTGCACTTTGATAGGAGTCTCTTTCTGTGGTAAATGGGTGTACAGCCCGGTTGTCGCGTGCGGGATCGAGGGTTGTGCGAGTGAGATGTACGACTCGAGCAACGGATTCTCCCATGTGGGACTTTTTCTTCGAGGGCGGGGATGAAATTCTTGTTCAAACCGCGACTTGGATTCATAGAGGGCTCGCAGATACGTCTCCCATGCCACTTGCAGTCTCTCCGCTGTCCACCCTTCTCTTCGCCGCCCATGATGGGCAAACCCATCGAAAAGGAACATGTATATCAACCCGCGCGGGGGTACAGCGAAAACCTTCTCCATGTCAGTGATAATAGACATCAGGGCTCCAATGTCGCCAGTCTTTTGGGCGTATAAGGACAGAAGGATGCGGAATGTGCGAGTGTCGGGGGTGATGGCGATCGCTCTTTGAAGCGTGCGATAATGATCTGGCAAGTGATCTTTGAGGCGGGCAGAGATCTCTAGGAGGCGATTGAGCCTTTTCGATCTTGCTCGGTAGGTTTTCATCTCGGTGGACAAGTTACCATGAATGGCGTGAGTGCGGGAGCCCGCAGCCTGGTTCATCATCATTTGCCCATAAATGGCTTCCGCTGCTTTCACATCTCCGGCAGAAATGAAGGAGGCCATCAGGCAGTTCATAACGGCAGTGTCAACGAGCTCGCCGCTCGAGGCGAAGTCATCGAATGCTTGCCGGACGCCGATAGCATCATGCTGTTGGCCATGACGATAAATTCTCGACACTTTGCCGGTGCGTCCAAACTGGAGACCTCGCTCTTCCATTTCCTCCACAAGCCGGTCGGCAACGGTAAATTGACCGGCTTTGATGGCAACGTCAAAGAGGACGGTAAACACAACCCCGTCTGACTTGACTCCACCCCAATGCTCCATCTTTTGCCAGAGACCGATCGACCTTACTAAATCTCTTTTATATACTCTGCCCGATGCCCGTCCTGCGAGATGAATAGCAGAAGTCCATAGAGAACGGGACACCGGGAGCTTGGCAACAACCATGTCGTCAAGCAGCGCAAGGAACCGTCGCGCTTCCACCCACCGACGGTTCTCCGGGGTTGCAAACCGGCGTAGCAGAGCTCCCCGACAAGCTTTCGAGAGATGCGCGACTCCCGGATAAGGAATATCTCTGTAGAGTCGAAAGATGTACTGATTTGATTTGCTCTCGTCCCACAGGGCGTCCCGAAATCTCGTAACCGAATCAAGCTCCTCATCATGGTGCGACATTACTTCCTTAGCCGGTGACGCTCGTGTCGATGATGGGCTCACCATAGGTCGGTCCCTGGTGACTAGATCTGCTGCCTGCTCCCAATCAAGTGAATCCTCGAACAGTGTTTTGTAAAAATGTGAGACAGATTTATGTAGTGCCTTTGTGGGTGTGGTCCTCCCTTTGTAGCCGTGCTTCTTCGGCTCGCATTTTCCATCCGATATCTGAGTTGTAGTGTTATTCGTAGTTGCGTTGTTGCGCGTGGGAAAGTTGGCCTCGCTCTCTGGTGATAGCTTCTCTGCGACAGACCCAATGTCGTATTCTTCCCCAGAACTTCTGTTGACCTCCCCGCATGCAGCGGAATTGCGGTTGCCAGTAACATTTGCACTGTGAAGTCGCGCGCGAGGGCCCTGCGATGGCCTATTCACCCAAACATAGCCTTCATCGCTGTCTTCCTTCGCCCTCAATGCGATTCCCGAGTTGAACATCCGTTGCGTCCTTGAGTGATGCAAACATTCCGGTGACGAACTCAGACGATCAAGAGGACGGGTTGAGGGAATTCTCCCGGTCTGTCTCAATCGCCGGTCCTGCCAGCTGACCGCATTACCTCGGGAAGACTTTTGGGGCATTGTCGAAAATGCTCTGCCACGAGGCGAGTGTTCGCGGCAGTAACCGGCCACCACCAAGGAACCAACGAATACATCGGCTATAGACGCCGCAGTGGGACGGGGCCGTCTGGAAGCAAGTCGTCTGACGGAGGCATTGTAGGAGAACGAATCGGAGGTTGACATGAAAGGGTAATTAAGGGACAAGCACGTATCCAATCGCTGCGAGAAAGGCCGCAGATCGGGCGAGCTCGG